TGTCTTCCGTACTAACAGTCGAAGGGCAATTCAACTCTGCTCTCCCTGGGAAAGCTTTGATGAAAATATCACGCTGAACAAAACCCACCGAGAATGCATTCAATACTTGAGCCTTGACAATGATTTTTCCCCAATAAACAGCTCTAAATCTAAATTCCGCGTTCTCCCCAAGAGATTCCCCATTGCCATCTCCGATATTAAAAGCCACACGTAGTGCGGGAGAGCTTCTATTGACAAAAACTGCACTTAAATTAATCCACTTGAAAACGGTTAGAGAACTGGAGTAGTTTATCACTAGTTCGTCTTTGAAGGAGCTTGAGTTGTACACTAAATTCTCCCAAGTTCCACCGCAGTGGTAGCTGCTGTCGCCAGTACAGTCTATGGTACAGTTTGAGCTTTGCTGTCGCGAGGAATTAAAAAAACTTGCACAAAAACACAAGTTGCCATTTTGTAGAGCAGAGAGAGGATATTTCAAGTCGCCACAAAGTCGTACGCAATCGTACGGTGTGAGACTCCACGGGCGATAGTTTCCTGGAGATACCCGGAACTCCCGATTTGTAGGAGACTCGGGAAAGCACCCTATTTTGAGATTTTCTTGAAGAAAAAGGAAAACAAAATTTCCGAACTTGAGCAATATTAAAACATTATAAAAGAAGGTTGAGATCTAGGCAACTACGCAATTAAACTGGGAAGACATTTTAAGAAGCTATTAAAATTTGATATAGAACCTGAAAAGGGGACTCTTCAGATTAATAGTATGAGTTAAGACGGATTTATGATGGAAAGAGGGTTTACTATCGTGGGTGAAATCCATTTGGGAACTTGGATTGTCGGAACTTTATAATCCTTCCTAAATAGGGAAACACGCGTCATCAAAATGTGAAAATTAGAAGGGGAAGATGGTCTGAAAAATATAATTCTTAGAGGCCACAAACCTACTTTTCAGGCCTTTTTAAGTTCATGCGAAAGGTCAGCAGAATACAAGGTCACCCCGAATCACAAGTGGTTCTAATAGTGTTGTGGAAAACCTCAAAAGCTAACCCTGAAAACTGATTTCTGGTTTTGTAATTCTACTTTAAATTGCTTAACTTAAAGTAAGCCTTCCTAGTAGAGTGGATAACAACGCCAAGTTGTTATTTAATCGTTTTTTGCTCTTTCATTTATCGTCTGACTGCGCTGAATCAAAACAGTCTCAACTGTAAAAATATCGAGATTATGGAAAAACTAATCAGACAATGCACGAAACGGGAAAAAACAGAGAAAATGTACAAACGCCAACTGATAAACAAATGTGTTTTCTATAGCTGAGGTCTAAATTTTTGAAAACAAAATCGTGAAGGAAAGGACTAGATCTACCCCGCAGGCCTCTCTATCAGTTTGCCAAACAAAGAAGAATATAATAAAAAGAAATTCATCACATACAAAGATAGTGGGTTGATTTTTTTTTTCAATACGTTTTCGCTTTCAAGAAATCACCATCGTAAAAGCTTTATCAGTCTTTCAAACTGTATAAGTAACAGGGCTTTGTGATGAAGATTCCATTTCCTTTGTGACTTTAAAAACGAGTGTAATTGAAATTTTCATCACAAAAAGGTGACGATTTCAATTTTGCCTTGCGTAAGTTCCAAACAATTGTCGTTTTTAATCCGAAAAGGACATTAGTCCTGTTGTAAACATTGTACACTAAGTATTTTTTCCTCACGTAACTCATTTTGCCTTTATCCCAAATATGCAACGATTTTCGATCGAAAAATAGTGCGGTTGTTCCAGTAGAACACGGCAGAGTGAGACATATGCTGCAAAATTTGAACCTATAGAAACAGTGAACCGTTGCCAAGTTGATGTAAATTACTGAAGATTAGAAAAAGCCAGACAGTTCGTAACTCACCGACATCAATAGAAGATGCATTATTGACCAAAACTCCACAAATCGACACAACCAAGATAGAGATTCGCGGAAAAAATTCAAAATACATATTCCTTATATCCATGTTCAATCTAACTTCGCTGACTTCACGTCCACATTTCGACTTTTATTTCGCCCCAGCGAAAAGCCGCAGTGAAAAAGTTGGGATGCAGAAAGCAAACAAATTGAGAAACTTTCACATTTCGGTTAACATAACAAATTCGTCAGTTCGGTCACGCGCACGAACAGAAAACACCACGAATCCGATTGTCAGTCAGCAAAGCCCAACGTGTCAGTAATTTCCGGAGATTCGGTGAAGGAAAAGAGCAAAGTGCCAGCGATTCGGTGAAACGTTGACTTGATCTAGGTTAATTGTAGTTCGGCTGACAAACACCCTCGTTTTGAGTCGCTCTCAACAATAGGGTGTCGACAGCTGCCTCAAACAAACTCTTTTGATTCGTTAATTTTCAGGGTAACCTAATACAGACAAAACTCGGTGGATATTGCATTTACAAACAGTGGGATGATAAGGGTGATCTTGAAAAAGACAAATTAGTTCTATGATTATCATAAAAGTGAATTTTTTTGATAACCAAATGTTCTATTCGTCAGAAAAAAAAAGGAATCGACTGATAGATCGTACTGCGACGAACGTCTGCCTATATATTATACGTTGCATTTTATTATTGATTTTTGCTCTTACTAATGCCGTCAAATAGAAACACTGATATTGCTACTCCTAACTTTTTCACTTATTGCTGTCTGAATTTTTTTCATTCCTTGCTGTAATAGAATAAAACGGGGAAGCTCACCACAAATGTAAGCAGCGAGGGAAAGAAAAATCTTAAGTTTTAAATTGAAGCACTCCCAGAAATATTGTCGCATTTATAGTTGACATTTATGGTACTTGGATTTAATTTTTTGTGAGAACAGAAATGTGTTTATCACAAACCGGTAATTCGAGAGGCGATTAGCATTTCATTATCTTTAATTCCTTTAATTTTAACACCGCGGTCGAACTGAAAATATCAATTAGAAATAACATCATTAATTTCCTGGGAGATGAATGCGATTTCCCTCGCCTTGTATTGAATGCATCTGGGTTCGTGCTGTGTCCAGCGTACATCCAGTCCCTCTAAACCCTGTAAATATTTCGCAGAAAATCAAAATTAACAGACCTCATACGAAGACAGTAAGCCCACATGCATGGCGCAAATGAATAGGCTGACATCCAACCGTGCAAATTTTTTTTCTCAGGGCACTGTTGTCATTAATATTCGATGGAAATACCTTTGAATATCTTGCCTTAGTGCAGCCACAATCACGCAAATGTTCATATGTTTATATTTCGCAACTTTCTTGTGCTTGCTCGACTGTTATTTCACGAATTACTTCCACTGAAGCAGTCGCCAAGGATTACTTGCGATTGTAGAATCTTATTTATATCACGTTTTTTTTTTAATAATTTCAGCGCAATTTAAAAATGAAGTAGCAATGATAAACTCTCAACTGTTTTCTTAGACGCAACAGTTTTAACTCACTTGTAAGGTGGAAAGAGGCAAATTTGTAATGAAGCCAAACTTCCGACCTCCCAGCAAAATATTTGCAAAATTTTCAAATTTTGAATTTTGTAAGGATTTCAATATGGCGAAACCTCCAAACCTCGGCGCAAAAGACCAATTTATGACTAATTTGATCATGGACTGACCAAACAGAAACGTTCAAAGAAGGGGAAAAAACCCGAAAGGAAAAAGGAAAAGAAACAAGAAGAAAAAATTGTCTGCAAAGTAATTCTGTATATAAATATTTTGTTAGTTATTATATTCCCAACATAATGATCATTTGATGACGGTAATGCGGAGGAAGAAGAATCATCCAAAAAACTCCCAAACTCGTTCCCAGGACATTTTCCTCTTCAATTGCGCCTTGAGAAAAAAGCCCAAATTCGAAGTTAAATTAGGTCTTTGATTGATTGATTGATTGATTAAATACATATCATGACATCATCAATTAGTGTGCCTCACGTAATTAAAAATTCCATGTTTACATGAAGAATTGTTTTAGAGCGCCTCCTATGCCAAGACAGGAGGCCTCCGCCGATTTACCTCAAGGTTTAGTAGCGGGGGGAGGGGGGAGCGGTGAGCGATCGTTTATTGATTCTTCTCAAAACAATTTTCTTCATTTTCGTCGAGAACGGAAGTTACCTGATAGCTAGTTAAGGTTAACTCACTAAGCATACTTGGTGTCGTCTGTTTCAATCGCATCCAGTATCATGAGTTCTTGCTCTTTATAGTTTAACACTGTAACTATATAACTAAAGACTGTTGTAACCGACGCTTCCAGTTAAGCATGTCAAGTAAAGAGTTTGATTACACCTTCCTGGTGTAAAGGCGAGAAGATCATAACTCTTGCGGAAACTTCGAAATTAACAATCTCACATGTTTTTCATGTTTAAATTTACTGGTTCTAACGGCTGACAAATAACACAGCTTTATCAGCTTCCACCATTCCGATCAAACAAGCCATAGATTTTTGTATAAACTTATTCGTCTTTAGTTACGCCTCATTTAGCGGATCGACAGAGTTTTCATTACGTGGTTGAGGAATTAAAGAAAGAAGTGTTTTCTAGAACCTCCTTATGTCGTACATCCGCACGAAAAGACAGTGTTCAAATATAAAAACCCCATTTGGTTTTACAGTCATATCGAAAACATTCCGGCGATGTGGTTGTTGACGTAATAGAACAATTATGCCCTAGAATTTACTGAACTTTTCCCGTTGTGGTAAACGCGCAATTCAATTTGAGGTGACGACACTGATTAAAAAACAAAGCACCCACAAGCATGTATTTGATGCATCGCAAAACATTAAGCTTGTGTTTAGAACAAGACTTAAAAGAAAATTTGTGATAATTTTTAAGAATAAAATTCTTTGCAGATAGAGAGGAAAAGTGTTTCTTTTGAGTATTTTCAAACATAGTTTTTCATGTCCAATACCGTTTGAATTAAACAAAAGGTTGATGAGGCATGCCTCAATGGCGGAAAATAAAAGAAATTTTTTTAATGGTTGAGTGGATCGTAGTTAGCAGTTTTCATTTATCATCAACAATCAAGGTAGCATTGTTTCATTCTCACTGAGAGACGCGTCCTTGCTTTGACTTTCTTTGCTCACCGGCTCCGGACAGCAAAGCAGTCAACAGCCTCACAACACCGTACATCCCTATACTAACGGTAGGTTTACTGCACAATTTTCATTTTTTTGAGGTCACATTGAGCGATATTTTCGTTATCTGCAGCAAAAGAAACACTCCAAATTCATATGGCTGATAATGGTATTGTTGATTGTATTTCTCCATTCTTGAAAATTTCAAACGTTTTCTAAGAATACTACGATCCCACAAACCACGCAAGGACATTTTCAGTATCATAGTATATAAAGTGAGAGGAAACCTCAGTGATGGCTATGATACCTTCAATCAAAGGAAGCTAGGTCTCGCTTTGTCTAACTTGTAAATGCAAGGGCAGTGCTTTGAATCTGCCGTTTTATGGCGCTATAACTTGAATCATGCCTAGAGAGAAATAAATGGACTCGACAATTATTTCTTAACTCAATAATTTCTTCTGATGAGGCGGAAGAGTTAATATTGAGATCAGGGTTGGTTTTAATTTTTTTGCGCAGTTGGATGCAAAGGAATTCGTTCTGTGATATTGCCCTGTGGGTGTTTACAACAGATTGTTGCTACTGTATAGAATGCACTTTCGAATTCATTCGGTAAAAGTTAAAAAAACGTACACTTTCATGATTCATTTCTTGAATCCAATCGACTTCTGTATTTTATATTTAAGAAAAGAATTAACAGAGCCTTAATAGTTTTAGTAGTTTCCCTAAACACCCACGTCACGCTGTTTCTCGATCGTCATTTCCGCAGGACAACAAAGAGTCAGTTTAGGAAAATACAAAAACTTCAAAATGAGAAGAGCAAATCTAAAAGGGGCTAGGATGGCGAAGATTCATTGGATAAGATTGTCTCGCTTTGTAAACGACCTTCTTTAAAAATTTTAGCTGCAGTTTACAAGTTATGAAAACCGTGACTTAGTTAGTCTGAGGTGTTTTTTGGGAGCTTTGTTGAACTCTCGAAGCTTTGTTTCAGTTATTTCCGTAGTTTCCAAATATTTAATTAAAGCTAAAAGAAGATTCAGGAAGAAAGTAACACAGTACTTGTTTACGTTTAGGATGTTGCGAACATTTCGTAATTGATGATGTTCAGTCGCATTTTAAAGGAGTTAGCTGGCATAATCCACGAACATATACATAGTTCAACACGTACAACTTTTAATTTCATTTAGATTACCAGTTCGAGAAACTTTCATTTACGCTCAGTTGCATATATATTGATGGTAAAATTTTAATGATGCGATCGATTTTAAAGGAGACTCAAGTGTATTATAGATTTTAGCTTTGTGATTTTTAAAAGTGACCTTTAATGCTCTCAAGGTAGAAATGCCGGGGGTCTCGACACCAAATTTCACTCTTGAGTAACATTTCCTTTTTTGACCAGTCGTGGTTTTGTTTTGGCAACGAAAAAACAAAGCTTTTTCCACGGCGTTCTTGAACTTTCGCCTCTAAAATCTCATGCGTCTTATAGCATGATTATGCGTCACTCATCAGAGCAGAAAGAAAATTCTTTTGCAAACATTGCTTTAGAAGACCTGTTTCTAGAACTATACATGTCAAACATTTACCAATGTTTTTACCACTTGAAGTAGCGTTTAATTCATGTCGTGGCTTACTTCGTATTAAAAAGCAGAGAACTTCTGCTCACTAGCGTGACCTTTAAGCCACTTTCTTCCCGCACATCTGGAAGTGACACGAACTTCCAACATAATATGCAGAGTTGTTTCAATATTGTTTGTGTATGAATTGTTTTTGTTTAGAGGCCATGATTTTTAAAGATAGAACGAAATAAATAAATAGTTCGGAATAGGCTACGCTACTCTTGATGCTCGTGATTTTGTTGGGAAACAGTGATCTCTATTTGATAGATCGATACGCAAGGGGTTGCAAAGTGCTTTTTTTAGCAAGCAATGGCCTCGGGGTAAAAAGAAGAATGAACTTTCTTTAAAACTGAGAAAAAAAATTATAGAAGTGCTAAATTGAAAAGTTAACTAAGAAAAATCTATTTTTATACCTCATCTTATCCGCTTGGGCGCCTGTATGTCTTCAGCATTGATGCTTAATTAACACTTCTTCGGCCAATATTACTTAACTCCTTAGGTGATCAGTTTATTGAATTTCAAACTGTTGCAAATTATACAACCTAACACATTTTAAAGTCAACCATTTATGATTTTTGAGGTTACCCACGCACTAGCTCTTTCAGTACTGATGCACCGCTCTAACAATAATTATGATATTTAAACAGGAAGCTCTCTCAGCCGTAGGTGATCTACAGAGAGGTCCTAATCCAAAATAACATTAAATTGTTCAAAGTAAATAAAAATTGCAGATATTGGAAAAAGTACAAAAGTAAGCTATAGATTAAAAGATTTTAAAAAATTATTCCTAAACTGACATATAGTGCCAGAGTTCTTCAAGTCACCGTCCAAGGCATTCCAGTCTTTAAAGGCATGATAACAGGTTCTTTGTTTACCCCAGTTCCGTTTAACTGGTGGAAGTCTAAGATGATCTTTGCAACGAGTGTTGTATCTATGTACATCGCTGTTTCTAGATAATTCCAATTTGTGAGATGTAATTCCATTCATGCATTTATAAACATACAAGCAGCGATGGAAGTGCCTGCGTTGTTTTAAATTTGACTAGCCGAGCTGATTGAGAGCATCGGTTGCGGAATAGTACAATGGTTTATCTAGAACAAGTTTTGCCGCCTTATTTTGCAACACCTGCAGACTGTTCATTAATTAAGACAGCGTTATCCTTATCACCCCATACCATATCAGCATAATCAAGGATGGGAAGGACAAGGCTTTTGTAATAAAGAAGGCGTGCGTTATACGGCAACAAATGCTTAATTCTACGCAAAAGACCTAATCTCTGGTTCACTTTAAATATCACATGTTCCACATGTTTGGTCCACGTAAAGTTGGAGGATAATACAGCCCCGAAATACTTAAAGCTTTTAACACTATCGAGTTGATTGCCAAGAACAAAAACCGAGAGACTGTTTAACTTGCGAAGCTTGGAATCACTACCAATAAGCATAGCTTTGGTCTTATCAACATTAGGAGTAAGTTTGTTATCATTTAACCAGCTAGCAATAGCATGCAAGTCGGCATTCAGGGCGCACTCCAGACCAGCTGGGTTTGAGTCATAGCAATTTAGCACTGCGTCATCAGCGTATAGGGCTACCTCTGAATGCTTGATGGCAGTCGGCAAATCATTCATATAAATAAGAAATAACAAAGGGCCTAATATGCTGCCCTGAGGCACGCCATGCGTAACAGGTAACAAATCAGACAATTCCGGACCGCAAACAGCGGTAACTAATAGCACTGTCGTATGGAAAAATTGTAGAATTACTGCGAAAAATATTGTTTCCATCGCCTTAGGGCATGTAAATTGTCTCTATGAGGTTGTTTTACTAATGCCAGGGTACAAGTAAATTGTTCTTGATAACTATTTGTATCACGTGACTGGTTCCACGTTTGCTCCAACTTCAAGGTTGGTCATCTCTGTAAATATGTTCCTTGATAAGTTTTGATAATTTTTCCCCAAACCTATCTCCTCAGATTAAAATTTTATGCTATGTTTAATCGTCACATTATATAGCTCCAGATATATCAAGATATTTTTCTGATAAAACTTTTTTTCGGTGTTAAGCACGTGGATCTAGTAAACCTCATATTTGACCGGTGTCCAGGGGTAGGTATTTTACGTTAAGTTAAAACTGACAAATCTCATAGAATGAGTCCATGAAAGTTTCACCAAAATACCCAATTAAATATTTTGATTTAGTGTTGAATTGAAATATTTTTTGCGAAGGTTCGTAGGGACTGCCTAATTATGGGAGGAGTTCCAAACACGAGCGGTCTCATTGCCAAGGGCATTCTTTGGTGTCTGCTATTTTTCCTGGGATATATGGAAGTAAAAGCAACGGAATACATTGCTCCAAGTTTAGAATGCAGGATGAGCTTTAACCTTACTGAGCTGGAGAACAAAACAGTCTACGAATATCACAGCTACACGAACAGCTCTAAGCCAGGGACCATTTTGGCCCTCCTCGGCAAGCGCGCCAACAGCTCGTCGAAAGAAGAGATTGCATCTATGTATAATATCTCTACGGGATGCTTGGCATACTTGGAATTCACACTGCCCGAGGTCGCTCTGTTTCTGCTAAATACATCTCAGTTTAAAGATATCACATTCGAGGATGTTGTCCAAAGTGTGTTTGTCTTTGAGGTGGAGACTATTTTACGAAAAATTTTTGCCTGGCAAGAAGCCTTCAACACTTTCGGGGTCAAAGGGAATGAAACGCTGGAAGAACTAGCCTCGATACGGAAAGTGAGCTTGGATACAACACCCATTCTGAAGCTGTTCTTGCTTTTCGTAAATAACGACAACGTTGAGTATCTTTCTGGGGTTTTGCAAATCAGTTTGTCAGCTTTTGAATTTCTCAACCGGACCGCGGAAGAACTCGGGACCATCCTGGCTGTGCCTGATGCAGATGAAGTGAGACACTACTCCTTTCTTCGCTTGATAAAGATTGCGGTGCTAGGTCAAGATTATGTCAGTGGGCTTCAAATGAGAATCCATATAGTGCGGCACTCGTTGGATGTTTGGGTGAGCAAAATTAAGGATGACCTGGATAATATGACAACTGTATTGGATCTGGTCCGTTCCAAAATTCCAATGAACTTACATTACCTAACTGCATTTCTGATAGACGTGACCCCGAGAGACTTGGATCTCTTAAAAATAACCTTACAAGAGTTTGCAGAATTGTTGAATAAGACAGTTATGAAGTTTTACGATTACAAATTGTATCCACAACTTGTAACGTTCATCGTGAAGACGAGGAAAAACGTTTTTGAACTTAATAGAGAGGCGATGGAGGAGGCTAAACGTGAGGTACGGAAAATATTGATGTCGTACAATGTCACCGCTGAAGTCCTGATTGAGTTTTTCAATTTGACTGAGATCATCTTTCATGACCTGAGTCCCCTCAGAATTGAGGTCCTCTGCGCAAGATACACTTTAGTACGTTATGCAAACAATTTAAATATGACCCTGGCTGAAGTCGCAGACAAACTCAATAAAACCGAAGCTGAATTGTCCTATAATCTAACCGTTCAAGAATTTCACGTGGTGATTCGCAAACTGCTGATAATTCGCACGTTTGAAGCCATGAGTCAGATGTTGGGCGTAAGCCAGCACTTTTTGGTGAATTCTCTTGACATTCAAGTCCCGATTTCGTATCTGTCCATGTGTCAACTTGATTCCTTCCTTACTAAGACTAGACAATCTGTGTTGGACTTAAATGAAGTACTAAGCAACAAGACCTTGGCGTTTGTGTGCCAGATCAATGCCGTGCACGTTACCACCGTCTACAAATTCACAATTGAGCGATTTATCATCGAAATTCTGCACCTCGATATTCGCTACTTTTTTTCTCTCAATGGCTTAACCTACTCGTCAGACAACTTGGAAATAGTCCGAAAATATCATTTCTTTGAATTGGAGCACTTGTTTCAGTTACGCGGCGATGATCCCATGTACAGCTTTGTTATATTCCGTCACTCTCTGGTTTGGATCATCAAGCATATCATCTATCTAAAGAAGACAGGTAACATTTAATCTAAAATAATTCTAGATAGTAACAAGTTTGCCTTCAGTTATCAACAAAATAGTCCAATTGAAACTTCTCCTTTGTTTATACTTTTGTAATTCTTCTTGCCATATTTATACATGGCATCACAGACAAGTTATAAGGATGAAAAAAAGAAAACAACAGTTAGGCAGATTTTTTGGATAAAAAAAAGAACAAATTTTTAACTGATCCCGTAAGAGCTGTATGGAAATTGGTGAGGAAAATAAGTTCAGAAACCTTGGTTACTAAAGGTTTCAATCCAAACAGAGATGCGGACATGTCGATGCAAACAATTCCTCTAAAATGGAGATCTCTTTGAATAATTATTAAATTTGCTTTACCCTTTGTAATGCAAGATTAATATACCACTACACACTGCCGAGTATTAGCCTACCATGCTCCCCGCGTCCAACAATAAGGTATACAGTTTGGATTGTAGATAGGAACACCAACCATGGTTAGAACTTTAGCTATTTTTTACTTTACTTGTGCTGGGAGGAGACTTCTTTTCTTCATTCTAAGTTCTACGTCAACAACAAAGGGTTTTTGGCTTATCTTTTTTTGTAAACACCACACGTCTAGTTTCTTTCGCTATAAATTAAGCATGTTTTGTCTAATTCCTGTTTCACTTGTTTGCTTTTAAAACAGACATAAACGAGTGCCGCCAAAACTCAGACCGTTGTCCTTCCCATTCGCTGTGCGTTAACCTTCCTGGAACATACGAGTGCCACTGTCCCAAAAATGGATATCGTGGAAGATACTGTGCTGGTAAGCTATATTTAACAATTATTTACCAAAATGGAGGTGAATAATGGTGGATATTTACCAAGCTGCGAAGCCGTGCGGTAAATATCCACCACTTTCACCGACACTGAGGTGGATAATTGTCCTAGTATATACCACACATATACCAAAATAGTATATAGATTTCGCCAAGCCTAAAAGCGGAGCGCCCATTTTTTTCCCGCACGTCTCAAGGGCACAACACCTAGCCCCTGCTAGGACTAGAACCCGGGTCGTCCGACTCGGAGCCCAGTGCACTGACCACTGGACAACTGAACAAAGCCGAGGCGTTGGCGTGCCCGCGGTACAGTTGACCATGCATGTCTTGTACGGTCGCACGGTCGTACATCCAAATTTTTTCGGCTTGATGGGTTACTACTATTTTGTATAATTATGGGGCTACGCTCTGCGAGCTCCGCTATAAGTTTATTTCTTTTAATATAATGAGATATGGTCGGAAATTTAATCTTGACTCGCGATTTTGTCTCATCGGCTGCTTGGAGGTGAATAGCAATTACTATCCACTTCCGAGCCAGCCAATCAGCGCGCGCGAAAAGCACTTTTCGCTTGTGTGGTATATACCAAATGTTGGTATCTAACGTCGGGCTCGGTTTGGGGGATGAGAGGGAGAGGGGTGCAACGGAAATTGAAGGGAGGGGGTGGTAATAAGATTATCTTTCAATAAATGACACGTCAAAACATTGTTATGTAATATTTTTTACCACGAAAGGATAAGAAACTGCAGATTATGGGTTAATCTCGTTCCTTGTGTCAGCTAATCCAACCAGTCTAAATTGAAACGTCCATTGCTATACTTCCGTTTAGAGCAACCAGAGCAAATTTGTTCCCTAATGGAAATGCCCTTGGTGATGTTAACAAATCCAAACTATTTACTTTTCAGACATAGACGAATGCAAAGAGGGTTGTTTCACATGCCCAGACAATGCCGAATGCAAAAACCTTCTTGGTTCATATGAATGCCGGTGCGCAAAAGGATTTCGCCACAATGCCGACAATAACACTTGTGACGGTATGATAGTTCTCATGTGTTCTCTTCCGTAGTTGTATGTATCATTTTGATATAGAGCGACCATTTAGGCGAAAGAGCTGAAAGGGGTAAGGGGGGAGGAGTGGGGGAGGAAGGAGGAGCGGAGGAGCGTCATTATGACCTATTGGATGAGGTTCGAGGAATACGCATGCCCTGTAAGTCTGGCTACGTCTGTGACATTCGAAACATCCTTCGCAGGTTTTAACATTATATCTTCAAGGAGGTAGGTCTCTCTTTTATTTCAATTAGAATTATCATTGTTGCTCTGCAAAAATGATTAGTTTTACCAGTCATACCACTCGGTTATTGAAACAGCAATAAAATGCATACAGAGAATTAAAAAAAATAAATAATAGAAATTTAAAAAAAAATAAAGTTAACGTCCCTCTGACTATAATAAAATGCGAGTAGAAATTATGTTGAATTTCCACAGATTTTGACGAGTGTGAGAAGTTTTATGACAACAGTTGCTTATTCAATGCAGAATGCATAAATACCCCAGGATCTTACTACTGTAGATGTCCAGATGGATACAAATATGACGATCGTAAAAAAAGATGCAAAGGTAAGTTGCGATCAGTGGCTAATAATCTCCTCAGTAAGATTAACTAGTGACAAAATTGTTTTGGGGGGTTGGGGTGGTGAGTGTATGCGCACTGGCACACGCAGTGTTGGCCTCACTCGGTTTTGAATATTCACACTAGGCGTGTGCGTTGAGTTTGTCACTGGTGTACTTCTGCTGGATGTTTATTCTGTATGTTCTTATATTACATCCAGAGGGAAATATTGAACGTTGATACATAGGCTTGTGGGCTCCTAAATGTCTACGCAAAACATACAGTTTTCTGTATTTTTAACTAGGACTGTTAATAGTTTCAGTTCAAATTTTCTCACCGGAAAAACGGAGAAAACAGAATAAAAAGAATTTTATGAATACGGAAAAAATTGGCAAAGAATTCAGGAGACTAGCTGCATCTAAGATGAAATGAAGTGTCTTTGAATCTGCAATATTCAGCTCAGCTACATCATGATGAGAACCCATGATTTTTGTATGGAAATAAGCTCCATTAAATGAAGACGCAAAGCTTTGAATCTGTGTGATAACTCCAGAAAATTTATTTTTCCTCTTCCAGACATTAACGAATGTGAAGAGGACCGCCATATTTGCCGTAGGATTGATAAAAATGCAGAGTGCGAGAACAAATATCCAGGATTTGAGTGCAACTGTCGACCAGGTTTTGAGGCTGTTTACAACAATAGTGTGGATCCGAAAGTTCTGTTTAATTGTACAGGTGAGTCCTTTGCTTGATCTCTAAAGTAAAACCCCCATTTGAACGTCTAACAATAGCATCACTCACAATGGAGTTTTTTTTCTGCAGCTCAGTTGTAGGGCATCCAAACACAGAGTTCGAGTGCGGAAGTTTGAACTTCGATTTCTCGTGGAGACTTGCTGAGACACTTCCTCGTTCTACGCTCGAGACAACTCAAAAACATATTTCTTTACATCTTTACCTCAATCAAAATTTAACATCTTCCATATTCTATTTATAAACATGACGTCTCACCTTTGCTGATTCTAGTAATATGCAGGACCCAAGTCACATATGGCTAAACAAAGCGTTACCTGTAGCTCATCATTGAACCGTGAAATCCTAAGATCAGGGCCCAGCTTGATAAAGGCCGGATAACTCGATCCGAGGGATAAATCGCTATTGAGCGGATGATTTCTAACATAACGTACTGTGCTATCCCCGGATAGAGATTTATCCAGTAGATAGCGTTATCCACGCTCCCGAATACTGGGGCCCGAAGTTCAACTCTTCATGGAGACTCTTCGGGCTCAGTGCAACTAAAGAGCAGCATTGAAATACGGACGATCTGAACAATGAACTCCTTCCAGAGATTTTAAGTCCCACAAAAGATTAAAATATATTTACTTTATCTCCTTGTTGCAGTAAAACTTTTTGTTGTTTTATCCCGTTGCAGATATCGACGAATGTGCCAGAGGCAATGCGATATGCCCTTTGAACTCTGAGTGCATCAACACCATTGGTGGAGCTAACTGCCGTTGTTTTCCTGGTTTCGAGAAAAGAAATGGCAGATGCAGAGGTACAAATTATTAATTCCACTGTTTAAATGCTAGTTATTTGGTGAAATATATGTGGGGAGAATACAAAAAGTTGTAACAGTTCTCAAAGATAAGCGAGAGGTAAACTCTTTATACGGCGGTGACTCACACCGAAAGCTGCCCTAGTTTATTCAATCCCGGTCATCGAAACAAGAAGCGGAGAATAATGTATTTGAAATTGTTATTTACCTTACGCAACAACTTCTTTTGGTTTCCTTCAAAGCTAAGCGATTTATCATCGTTATATTGATATGGGTTCAGCCGATCAGATATCGTCGTGTTCCAACCCATATCGAGGTGGCCAGCGGATTCCCTTTCTTTGGCGAACTGTACAAGAACATTTATGTGAGTATGGGTGCAATATCTAGTTATGTAAAATGATATCACCCTAAGCTATTTATTATTTCTTTGATTAGTCAGTGAAAACTGCAGTGTTATGGACATAAACAGGGAACATTACTGTTATTTAGTTTGCCATGTTTCAGAACTATTGAAGAGTCTAGACTCAAGCTTAAGGCTAATTAGTAAATAAACCCCTTCTGCCGGCTGGTATGTCGGCTGATATTGTCTGCGGCTTAGATGTTGTCCGAAAAAAATATTTGGCCAGGAAACGAAGCTTCGAGGGAAAATTTGAAATTTTTAAGACAATCTCTCAGTCAAAGGAGTTTCTTTATTTCATAACCCTTCAAGTAATTTTCATATCGCGAGTTGACAGCAAATTTGCTGACTTTCTTTTGCTTCCGTAACAGCATTTGAGATCAGCTTTATAAATTCAACTATCACTGGACTCTACAAAACGAGTTCAAAATGAAACTCTGGCGCTGGCTTTGTTTCTTTTCAATGAAAATGGTCGAAGGATAAGCATCAACGTAAACGGGGGTTATATATTACGTGATAATTGTCGGGCGATTTTGTACCACGTGACGTAAAGTAGCCGATAGCAACGCGCGAAAGTTCGTGGGTGGATTATAAAGGGCGTTATCATTCCACCTCAAAAGTGAATAAAAGTAAAGCCGACCCGTGAGTTTAATGGTGCATACCACAGGAGCTGATACTTTGTGTCCACGTATTTTATGTGTACAACTTCGAAATATTTTCGACGATGTGAGCTGATAATTTTTATCGTAAATTTTGTTTTGGGCAGATTTACCATAATGGCTTAATTTCTATTGGCAAGCGCTATTACCGTTCTGAACCGAAGAGGCTGACCAGCCTGAAAAAGAATGTCATTGCTGTATTTTGGGCCAATACAGATATAGTTACCTCAACCACAAGTATCACTTACCAAGTTGTGGACCGCAGCACATCGGAATTCAGAGAGGTAATGTCTTGTAGGTAAACGAGAAGCTAAAGCTGTAGGTATGTTACATACGTTTACATTGAGATGTCTTACTATATCACAAACGCCACCTAACAAACAAACAAAATTATTAGGATCTGAAAAAAATGTTTTGTTGCTGGATGTTGCCTAGTTAAGGCCTTGATTCAGAGTGAAAAATCCTTTTGGCGTTACGTTCGTTACGTCGATTGATGCAAAGGGCTGACACTCCAAAGCGGATCGGCATAGTTAAGTGGTACCCTAAGGATGCACGCGAACTTGTCTTTCTGGTCTAAAAAAATCAGTTGCAAACAGTTAATAAGACATCCTGGTATGTTCCTAAATTCTTTGAAAACGCAAGTGTAGAACATCGCTTTCCGCTCTCCCCTATTAAAAGATCTTCTCTATTCCCCTGCAGAATTTTAATAATGAATTTTAACTTTTTATTGTTGGGAATTTTGCAGCAACTGGACAATACCTCGGCTCTGCTGAAAAACTGCTCAGGGCTTACCGAGTTCAACGCAACATGGATGTTGGTGGTAACGTGGGAGAGAGTTTCACCTTTCGCACGGTTTAGAAGTTTTTTGTCTCTCTTCAATCCATACACCAATGAGGTAATTATCATGATAGCTGTTTTGTTTTAAAATAGAAAAGTTTCAATTTATGTGCAGGAAATAATCCAGCTTAGCCGCGTTGTTCAAAACACAATTATCCGAACCCAATATAGTGTTATACAGCTTTGCAAAGGGATTTTTCTTTTGACACGATCATGATCTTGAGATAAAACGTACCAAAACCCTAACTGTTATTCGTGCTCTTCTGTATGAAGAATGTATTTAAAGTCTTTCATTTTGCAGAGTTTAAAAGGACCTCAGTTTGCGTACACCAATCCAGGCGGAAAATAATTCCAGTTGTAATTAAGTTTTTTTCTACACCATATTTTTGAAGCTAAAACATTGCTTCTTGTGATCGTGTGCATTTACGATACTTTAAACATTTTTCTTCAGGAAAGCTCTTATCAGGCTGTTCTCATCACCAATGGAACCTCCTCGTACGTTATCTACAGTTACGAAGACGGTGGAATGAACTGGAATCGAAGGCTACGACGAAAGTGCGCTGTTGGTTACGCTACGAAGGACAAAAAGTACAGCTTTGAGGACGAAGACTCCTTTGGTGAAAATATCTTCCAGATCGATTCTAAAGAATTCGATGTCGACGGAATTAAAACTCGTGGGAAATTCTGCAAATCTTTAAATGCCCCAGATGAGCCTATAGAGTTAACAAACGAACAGAAGTGTATGAACTGGTACAATGAAGAGCCTGACCCCGAAGACTGGCTTGAAGAACTGACCGACTGTCCCGCAACTTTTAGATCTGCGCGCCAGGACAACCGTTACAGGAGAATGAGCTCATCTGCTGGTAGTCGTGGTGCAAGAATTGACTGTTACGAGCTTAGATTTCCCACAACGGAGTTCGGTGCGAGTCATCAGTGCTGTTATCTCGCTCGTGGAGAAAGAGGAAGAAGAAGTGGAAGAGGTGCGTTTGTTTCAAAGCCGCCTCAAGCTGGAAGAGCTTACAGGTTTGTAAATTAGATGACTGAATTTAAAACAGAAAGGCATGATAAAAATGGACCCAGTTTAGTCAGGACAAATCAGAGAGATTTTTTCCGTTGATCAGTGAAATTTCAGAGGAAGTTATTTTGTTATTTTGGCTATTACTGTCTCACCAGGCAAAGATAATTGGCAAACGTGGCCTGGTCTAAGAGTTAAAGAGTGAGAGTAGCAGAAACCTGTATCCTGCGTCCTTGTTCCACATCTTAAAATCTTCATCCTATATTGCAAGATTTCTGATCTCGCATCCCTGCATCTCCTTGCACCCGCAACTTGTCGCATCCGGTTCCCCCACCCCTGACCACCAGCTAGGGACCGGTCCCTATTTATCACCTGGCAGGGGCAGAGGGGGGGGGGGATGGGGGTTGGAGGATTTTAGGGGGGAAACGGAGGGGGATCATTTCTCTTTGAGGGAAATTATAGAAATTTGACTGATGAGGGAAGATCGTTAGAATACTACAGAGCCCAGGGTGGGAGGGGTGGGGGAAGGGGGTGGAAGTATCAGATTTGTGTTCTTGTGACACAGCTACAATCCTCCAGTCCCCCTCAGGCCATAATAACGACTTGTTTTCAAAAGACACAGTGTAAGTCATGTTTTGTTTTCATTTTTTAATTTCTCAGATATCATTTTCGCAATCGAGCCATGAGGCAGAAAGGTGACATCGAACCGTTTGAGGTTTGCTGCGGCGAAGGAGAGTCACTATGCAATTTGTTTTACGAGAAGCGACCGCTGACTACCGCTGCCAGTGCCTCCGAATTTCCGCAGCGGTGCTCGTGCAGTCGATTGGCGGGCGGCTGTCGTCGGAGACCATGCCGACCACGCCGTCCCCGAATTCCTTGGCTACGAATTGTTATCGGTAAGGATGTTTTGAGCATAAATGAATCACAAATGACTGTTCAGAATTTTCATCTAAGCTATGCACACTAAACCATATTCAAGGGAAATTCAGGTTGCACAAAGGCTGTTATAGTTCAATTCGATTAAACCAAAGCAGAGAAAAATTTGGAAGATAAAATAACATGAGAAAACATGAGATATGTTGAACACTTTTTAATCATTTACAATTTTAACGTTTAGATATTTGGTGAAAGTCTTGTAGTCTTGAGTTTGTTAAATTGTTTAACTTATTTCCTCTGAGTTTTGCATGCATCATGCATCAAGGGATTCAGGAAAAAATGACAGAAAGATGTTTTTCATCTTGTCCTAGTGAAAATGTGTCAGAGCTCCATAATTGGACACACCTAATTTTGACCAGCGTAACAATTCTTTTAAATTCTTCATTCCAGTTAGCTTCTGGGGAGACCCGCACTTGCTTACGCTTGACGGCTTTCAGTACACCTTCAACGGCCTCGGAGATTATGTATTGGTTCGGACGCGGGATCGTTCGCTTCACCTTCACGCCAGGACAAAAAGGCCAACAACGACCGAGGGAGGACTGAGTAACGCGACTGTCATATCGGCTCTCGCTTTCAAAACCAAAGACAGTGACAAAGGGCAGATTGTGTTTGACGACTCTGTCCCTGGCAACCTCAGCTTTACCATCACAGGAATGGACGGTTCCTGTGAGAATTTCACCATTGCTGATTTTGACGAGGGTAAAGATTTCACAGGAATGTCGATCGAGAGAAGTACCATCAACAACAAAACTGCCATCATATCGTTCCCGTCAGGCCTTTCGATCGAGGTGTCCCCAGGCTTAGAACTTCTTCAACTGAGTGTCAAAGCGCCAAGCGATATGATGAACAAAACCGAGGGACTGCTGGGAAATTTCAATGGCGACAAGACAGATGAACTGATATATCCCAATGGTACTATGATACCGAGTAATTCTACAGAGCAAGAGATATTTTCTTTGGGACAACAATGTAAGTCTAACGTTTACATGAACGGCGTAGGGAAAACATTTCTGTTATTCACACCATGAAAATCATGGTTTGTTTGTTTGTTTTTTTTCTTATATAGTAAAATTAAATTTGAGCCATAAATATTTACACCTTCTGTGATCACAAAGAGAACTGAGCAACAAGGATCACCAAGAAAATGTTGTGAAATTAAATTGAAAGGGAAGTCTTTGGTGAGCGTTACGAGTTCAAAGATATAAAGTAAAACTGGTCGATATTAAGGGTTGACGATAAAAAACGAGAACAAGTTATTTTTTTCTACTTTTTACATCTTCGTTCCGTTTTATCTCAGAATGATCGTTTTTTTCACCCTCACGTCTATGAAAATGCCAAGTATTAATAGATTAAATAACGAACTAGAACTAATTACAGCACAAAAATAGACTTAACAGTTAATTGCATGTACAATTACCAATACTCAATAAACGAGCAACTTTAGAAATTGTTCACTCTTATAAAGCAAAAATTACAAATGTTATGGAAGGAGGGTCTCAATGGGGCCATAAAAATGAACTTATATTAACCGTTAGCCGAAAAATGCCCAAAATTTTAACCGTTAGTCGTAAAAGCCACTACCTCATTGAGACCCTCAAAGAATCCAAACACAATTTTTGTCAAGCTGAGAATAACCTCTGATCATGATTAATGCTTACTCATTATTTTTTGTTTCTCCGTCTTGTTGCCATCAGGGGTTGTTCCACATGACGAAAGATTATTTGTATCCTCCAACTGTACACTACAGAATGTGTCGTTTGACGATATGTTTGTTCCTGCCTTCTTGAACCTGTCTGCTGTTACGGATAAGATCAGAGCGATCTGTGGGGACAACAGAGAATGCATCTTTGATGTAATGCAAACTGGTAACAAAGAGCTTGGACAGGAGACCAAAGGATTTGAAGAAGAAGCCGAGGCTGCCAAAGCAGAATTAGGTAATAAGAAAACAAGAAAAAAAAGGAAATTTCATTATTTTAATAATGTATAATTTCTTATCCTCAAGCTTATAAAGACTGGGAGTAATTCATTCAAACTTGAATGCATTCCAGCTTTGTTTTTCAATACTGTGGTAGGGGAAATAAGGCGGATCTAAGGGATTGGAACGGATAGGAGAAATTGTTTCAAAAACGCAAGTCACTCTTTGCCTCACCTACGATGAAAAATTACTTTTGCAGAGGTGTCCCCTTACAACATTCGGGAAGAATTTTCTATCTGATCAATAAGCTTTAAGCTTCGAATGACATGCTGTTAGTGGTGTCAAAAAGAAGGGAGGGAGGGAGGGGGAAGTTTTGGTCTTCTTACCCCTTTCTTAGACCAACCAATGGGGCGAGAGCGGGTGGGGGAGGGGTGGGGGGGGGGGTTGGATCTATTTTCTTGGAAGGTTGCGATGATGGAGAAGATCAATACTAAAGCAAATGAAACACTTTTTTTTCTCTTCCAGAAAACACTCCTCCGAATATTACAGGACCAGTTGAAATCAGCGTAACTGTGAATCAGATGACGAAATTTAACCTAAGCGTGTTCGATACTGACAACGATGACGTCACGCTGGAGGTTGAAGAACTACCTGAGGGGGCATCTTTCACTTTTAACGCTTCAGAAAATGTCGGCCATTTCGTTTGGACGCCTGTCAATGCGTCTAACATCACGTTAGAATTTGTTGCCACGGACTCCAAAAATGACACATCTGTTCATCCCGTTGTAATCAACATGTGTAGGTGTGAGAACAATGGAACTTGCGACTTCACGGAATTTGTTGGAGATGACAATGGCGCCTTTCGCATTGTGGGATGTAACTGCAGTGATGAATTCGAGGGTGACTTCTGTGAGATGGAGGTACTTGACGCATGTGCAGATGATCCCTGCGCCGATAACGTGACTTGCAATACCACAAGGAACCCATTCGGGTTTAAATGTGGGCCCTGTCCTGCAGGTTTAACCGGCGATGGTGAAGACTGCTTCGGTAAGAGGTGTTTTTTTTCTTTGTTTTTGCCATCAGGTTAGACTGAGAAAGGACTTTGATGTATCGTAAATGGGTTAGGGTTCGGAAAATTTACGTCAGCAAAAATTCCATAGAGAGGGCTCATTTGGATTAAATTAAGATCAAAAACTTGTTCAAAAGTCAGGTTCAACTCGTAACTGTCCACCATCGACCCCTAACAATACAATGGCTTGTCCAAAAACTCTCCTTTGCTGAATGCAATAAAATGAATTTACCACACATCCTTAGAGAGCTTTCTTTTTTTACTCATTCGTTATAGTTTTGATCAGTTTGCTTTTTTCTTTGTATATTTTTAGAATTTGACGAATGTGCAAATGAAAGTCTAAGCCAGTGCAACCAGACCTGTGTGAATACGTTTGGTAGTTTTCGATGTGAATGCAAACAAGGTTATACATCACGTGAGGAAGGAAGAATCTGTGAAGGTATTTTCAATTTCAATTCAAAGTTCAATTCAAAGAAACACTATTAAACCCTATGCAAGATGGCTTCTGGCACATATCGCTGCAACAGGTTAAGTCCTTTTTCAATCGAGAACTCGGTAATCATTTCACCTTTCTTGCAGTGGTCTCGAATTTGAGCAATGCGGTCTCTATAAAGTATGAAAAATTTGCACGACATTTGAAATTATTGCTGAAAAAATTTCATTCCTTAAAATCACTTGGATCCATGAGTACGATTGTGGCCCTTTTCAAAACGTTTTTTTCGATATGCTTGAAACTTGTTTCTGAAATTGGGAAAGTTTTTTACACCACCACTGGCACTGCTACTTTCCTCACCGAAATTCGCGTCTACAATTCCGTAAATGAAGTGCTAAAACAAACGGAGTAACTGTGATTGTATTCTTTAGATATAAACGAATGCCAAGATGCAGGCAACCTTAACAACTGTTCGGAGAATGCATTATGCACCAACTTACCAGGTGCATATAACTGTACGTGTCACCCTGGCTTTGAAGGTGATCCAATGAAAAACTGTACAGGTACGGTGAATTGCAGTGGTGGTTAACTTATAAATGAGTAACACTTAAACATCAGAGTGTTGCCTTTTTCTGATAAGAACTTAAGAACGACCAGGTTAACAATGAAGGAAAAAGACCAGAAAGGAAAAAAGAAAATAAAAAGGAATACGAAGAAAAAGAAAACTGGAAGGATTAAGAACAATGAGCATGCGGAAGGACGACGGATGAGAAGAAGAATCTTTATCGATAATAAAGAAGAGAAGAGGGAAAGAAGCCAGAGAGCGAAACAAGAGAAAAAACAAGAAAGAAAACACATACAGAACGACTAGATATCCTAGAGAGGTTAAAAATATTCTAACCGACGACGGATTTTGGCATTTAACGACTAAGAGAGTAATAATGTTTATGAATACATGAATGAATGAATGAATGAATGAATGAATGACGATTAATAATAACGATGTGAAAGTAAGTTGTAATTGCACTCCTCTCTCCAAAGGAACACATATCGGTTGATTCTCAACACATAGTTTTAGAACAACTCATCAATTAAAATTGAAATAGAATGAATATTTAAAATGCATACAATAATTACTGTTGTGATAATAACCATATTAATGCGAATCCCTTCTCCTGCAGATATTGATGAGTGCACTAACGGTGTGGCACAGTGCTCTCATATATGTCATAACAAGCCAGGATCCTTTGAATGTTCCTGTTTAGATGGATTCAAACTTGCCGCTGATAACCAAACCTGTGATGGTATGTATCTCAACGAATACGAACATCTCAGTTAGAGTCAATACTGAAAAGAATTGCGATTGATTGCTCGCAGGTCCGTCATGCACTTTAAGGGACGCTGGGCCCAATGGTTTGCGCGCCAGATTTCAGAGAGAGAAGTCTGGGTTTGACCCGTGGACGGGTCATTGTCTTTCGTTTTTCTGTTGTGTTCACCTTGTTTTCAGTGGGTATTGGGAAACTTCAACAAGAGACCTTAAAAAATGCTGGTGGGTGGGCGCGAGGGTGGGGTAGGTGCAAACCATAGTTTTTCGGTGAAAGAATGTTTTTAATTCCACACAGTTTTCCTAACTTTGTTTGATCCTTGAAAATGTACTTGACCGAAAGTCATTTTCTTCTTTTTAGATATAAACGAATGCGAGGGCAGCCATAATTGTGAACATATGTGCGACAATCGCATTGGATCCTACATCTGCAAATGCCCGCCTGGTTTTGAACTGAATGCGGATAACGTCACGTGCAAAGGTAGAGAGATCTTTTGCGATGTAGAATTGCTTGTAAAAGAAGCTTAAATGGTGTACCCTTTTTATTCCAGGCATTCATGAAGTTGTCGGATGCCCGCATTACGAAATTAAACTCGCACTCCTATTTAGAAACACGTTTATCGTGTTCTATTTGACAAGCAAGCAAGAAAATTTATGATCTCCTTTTTTCTATTCCGCCGTGAACTATCAAGATCTAAAAGCATCTTCTCCAATCTTTCACCTACATTGTTTTTGTCGGAAGTTGGATTAATTTTTCAGCTTTTTAAGCTGATTTTACGTCCACGTAATCCCTGCGTTCGGTGCTCTTAAGACATGTTTCAAAATTGTCTGTGATTTTTAGAAATATGCAACCAATATAACAGTACATCGCATGTCCTCATGTGGATACGAATTTATTTTCTCATATTGATGACGCCTCTCACTTGTTCACTCACTCTTGAGAGATACATGTACTATCTACACTCGAGGATAAACTCGTATCCACGCGCGCCCGTGTAATATGCTCTACCTAATTTTGTTTCATTACATTCACAGTGGCAGAGGCCAGCGCATGTGACGCAACAAATGGCGGCTGCTCCGATACCTGCGTGAACAGAACAGGAGAGATCACGTGTTTTTGCAATGCTGGTTACAATCTCACAGCTGATGGAAAGACGTGTGAAGGTAACAGCAAATTGATTGCAAAGACGTAAATCTGCGATCGTAACGATTACACGCCTCTAAGCAACTTAAGCGTAAAGAGGAATTAACTAACGTTGTGTCGGTGTCCGTTGCTAGATATCAACGAGTGCATGATGGGAAACCATGGCTGTAGCGTCAAGTGTCTCAATACTAACGGTAGCTTTACCTGTGGATGTTACCCGGGATACGCCTTAGCCGGAGATATGAAATCTTGCAGAGGTAAAGCATATTTTTCTTGGCTATTTTATGGCTGAACTCATCCGTCTTTCTCTCCTAAGTTCCTTCTCCTCAATATCCCAGAACAATCTTAACGAATTTTTCATAGGGTATACTCTCAAAATATTATGTGGGGATGCATAGTACTCGTTTTTAAGACCCTTACCCTATTTCAAAAATTTTTCGATTGTCCATCTTCTATTTCAGACCTGAAACCTTCTACTTCAAACCACACTCTCGGAACGACACCTTCCCTATTTCAAACCAGATTGACATGTAAAATCCATTAAATCTGTTGTCTGTTTTGAATTATTTCTAGTAGATCACGTGCCTTATGCAGACCCTAGTCCAAGATAATTTACTAGTATGTACTTTTTATGAAAGAGAATCCTCTCCTCGGAAAATTTCTTGAGTTTTTCTTGTTATTATCAATACAGACGTGAATGAGTGTGATACTCCCAGCCTTAACAACTGCGGCCAAGTTTGTGAGAACAATAATGGATCTTTCACGTGTTCCTGTGATGATGGTTTCACCCTTGAATCTGACAACAAGACCTGCTCAGGTATAGAATTATTATTCTGCGTCGTAGAAAAGTCATCATAAGATAAGTGCGCATGCGTAATTTGCCTGTCGTGTAACAAGACATCGAGGCAAAGTAAGTGCGCATGCTCTACGCACCTGAGGCGATTCCATCATTTAGGGCATTGCGTTATTTCGTTATGTCTCCACCATACGAGTTTCTCGTCTTAGATAAGACATTATTCCCCAAGTTGGATTTTTTTTAGAGAAGGCGAAAACATGAACCTTAAGTGCTTCGGTAATGAAACATCGTAGGTATAACATTCGCACACACGAACGATTCACGCAGAACCTCGCTTCAAGTCACGTAAGTCACGCGGGTACAGAGAGAGTCACCATCCTCTTTGAAATTTAATTGTTTGTGTAATGATACCAAAAACTGTCACATTTCAGATGTTAACGAGTGTACCGCCAGCAGCACACCTTGCAATGCTGGTGTCTGTACCAACCAGCCTGGCACATTCCAATGTGTGTGCCCGCCTCCGACATTTTATTCTAATGGCGAATGTAGAGGTGAGAGAAAACTCTTATGAGTGACTTGTAATGCCTTTGTAACTTAGTTTCTATAAAATGCGGAAATATTACGACTTACAATCACACATTCAACTCTTCATTAAAACTGTTTCGGCTCGAAAGCTGACCTTGGAAATTGCTAGCAACTCGACTTGAACCACCGAAAGCCTTTTATTCGCGCCTCAATTTGTCAAAGATGAGCGGGAAAATGATTTGAGTAATACTTATCGACAGGCAACAAACAAACAGAACAAATAGTACATTTGGCAAATAAAAACAAACAAAACGTCCTATTCCGACACTTCTTTGAACACCGAGGAGCTCCACTTGAAAAGTAAGAATGCTGAAAAAGATCCCCCCAGTCTTCAAAAAGAGAACATGAAAAAAAGAAAAAAAAGAAGAAAGAAAAGTAAAAGAAAAGATAGTAGACATAGAAGTCTGAGAGGCGTAAATACCAATTTAATTACCTCGCATAATATGGTTATGAAAATGCTATCTGATTTCTGTTGAAGCTTTCCTATTTAAGCTATCTAAGTTGAAGAAATCTCTTTGAGTTATATTAAAGTTCACACGGCAACCAGGTGGACAATCAGACATAGTTTGACGCTACTCTGGTTTGCATATTTAATGAATGTAACCGAAGAAGTTACGATTCATAGACCCAACGTTTCGACACGTTTCGATTCTCACCACCCTATTTGCCATAAAAAGTCTGTAGCCAAAACTTTACTTAGGAGGGCTGACTGTCTACCATCTTCACTCGATTCGAAGGCTGAGGAGAGGAAATATGTTGCCAATGTCCTAAAGGCAAATGGCTATTCAAAAACTTTTCTCCGTAACTGCCAAAAACCAGTTACAAATAGTAACGCTCTTGATGAAAGGAAATCAGTGACTGGTTTTGCTGTTATTCCTTACATACAGGGTGTTACGGAACCCATCAAGAGAATTTTGAATAGCCACAACGTTAAAGTTGCTCAAAAACCTTTTCAGACTTTGGGGCATATTTTCGCCAAACCTAAGGATCCTGTCACGAAAGAACAACGAACCGACGCCATTTATTCTATTCCTTGCAATGACTGTGACAACGAATACATCGGACAGACCAAACGTCAGTTCGGTACACGGTTAAAAGAGCACCAAAAAGCGGTTTTTCTTTGCAAAAAGGAAAATTCAGCTTTATCGGAGCATACATGCCTAACCAACCATACAATTGGGTGGGATAATTCTAAAATTATCACCGCTAATCGGCGTTACCATCAGCGCCTTTGTTTGGAGGCTTGGCATATTAACTCCGCCCACGCTCCTTTAAATCGTGACGATGGCGGTTTGCTTCCTGACGCCTATTTACACCTCGTCAGAAAAAGGCCGCTAATTAGTGATCATATAAAAGGACCTCTTGTTGCAGCGTTTAGATCACCCCTGATGAAGGCACTAGACAGGAGTGTCAAAACGTTGGGTCTATGAATCGTAACTTCTTCGGTTACATTCATTAAATCTGCAAACCAGAGTAGCGTCAAACTATGTCTCTTTGAGTTGTTTAAGTTTTGCCTACAAACTATGATTGAAAAAAAAAAATCGAAAAAGAAGAGATGGTTACAACACGGAGTGTTTAAATTCGTCCACCCGAGTACCTACTCCGTCAAAATTGCCTCTCTTCTACTTTGAGGTTTAATGTACGGAAAAAAAGGAAAAACCCAGGGCTCCAAAACATGATACGTGAAAGATTCCCTGTGTGCGTGTCTTCTTTTATCATCTTAATGAAATTTTCAGAGAATGCTACTCTGCGTAGAAAAGATTAAGACTTTTCACACTGTTGGAAAACATTTTCGATTTCGTTTCTTTGTCAGATGTACGTGTATTCGTTTTTGTTGTGACATTGATTCGAGTGAACACCAAGACAGTTGTGTGGCAGGAAGACCTGGGAAATCCTGAAACAGTCGCATTTGGTGTACTGGCCAGGAGAGTCGAGCTACAGGTTAGAAAATGTGATTTCTGTTCACCCTCCGCTCTGAACGCGCGGAGATCAACTCCTAAAGGATAGGTGATTCTTATCTCAGTTCCTGGGTGATTTTACGTCTTCTATTTGTCCCTACAAAGTCCTTCTCAGTGACGTCACGGTGTCAACAGAGTTCAGACCCCAGATGCGATTAGGCAACGTTGCGATAGCATAGTACATATCTGAGAGTTACCTTTTTAGGATGATAGCGATTAAAGCTTTCTTCGCGTAGCCTTCTTTTTGACTCGATCACATTAAAATGAACATCAAAAGGAAAACAATAATGGTAATCTATGCGTCCAATCATCAGCTTTTTCTATTTTCCTCGCAGATAGACGACCACTACAGGCGCAAAAGCAGGTTCACCAAAAAATTTGTAAAAGCTAAAGTCAAAAGATTCAGGTTAGTATGGATAGTCCCACTTCTAACTTACGACTGCCTTTTAGTGTGTCTAAATTGCCTCACAAAATACTAAGGCACACAATGATCTGACTTATGTTAGGAAAGGAAGTGTTCTCGCCGATGTTGACCTTACTTTTGCTGATGATGCGACGGATGTAACACCAGACGCTCTGAAAAGTGACTTGCCCACATCAGGGGAGATGGGAAATATGAGCTACAATCCATCGAACGCTGCAGTCGGAGGTTGGTTCAGGGTTCTTGCGTTTTATCCTATAAAAATGACCTCGGAAAACATTTGTGGGACTCACATACTGCCACGGGTATATTATGTTAACTACGGTCAAACCGGGGAATCATGGATCTGAAAACCGAGAACATTTTAATTATATACTGGATATTACTTGCGTTTCTTTCATGATCATTATTAGGATTTTCTTCTAAAAGAGCTTTAAGCGGTTGTTACTGAAAACTGTGTTGTATTTGGCCGACCCAGATCGCCAGCAAAAAACAAGTTCAAGACGAGGGTTGTTATTGGCGAGAGATTGCTGATAAAAGAGTACTATGCCTTTTCAGGCTCAGTTGGCACTGACAGAGAAGGATAGACTAAAAGCAAAGTTGTGATATGTAGCTGTTTCCAAAAATTAACTCGCTAGGTTTTCAGTGTCTTTTCGTTTTGGTAATACAGTAACACGGCAAAAAAACTAGCGTTCACCGTACGGAAAACGAAGATTGAATTCACGGAAAACGCGGTATTTTACAAACGTTTATCCATGTTTTGCGTCCATGTGTGACTGATGTCGATTGTGCATTTGTTTCATTATTCAAAATGTCTTTTAAGCGTCGCCTCATGTGATAAAAATAAGCTATGTTACTTTTCTCCTTTTTATATCAGATTTTAATGAATGTGATGACAAAGCAACGCATAATTGCCATATCCATGCCACATGCATCAACAAACCAGGCTCATTTGAATGCAGGTGTAAGGAGAAATACAGCGGAGACGGAGTAAAGAATTGTGGTGAGGTTGAAACCAAATTTAATGGAGAGCAAGACAGTTCTCTATAAGTTAAACTCTAATTCTTTAATGGGACGAGGCTATTACTCTTATTTCCTTTGGTCGATGTTACCACACTTAGTGAAATCTGTTAATCGTCGCTGCTTAGCTCTGTATGCCTACAACTTCAGTACGAGTACTGTGGATTTCATTGTTTTTTTGTTTTAATTTTGAACCCGATTGCAGTCAGCACATTAATGTCCTCGTAAAGTTTGAAAAATTAAATGATAAACACCAAGCTACCTTAAATTACTGCAAAATAAAAATGAATAAAGCTCAACAACTTTCTATTTTTTTTAGAATATTCTCCGGAACCTGCAGATGACCCAGGTGTGTTTTCATGTTTGTGGCGATTTTAGAATGGTTTGTCCTAGCTGATACATTTTTCTTGCACAGTTAGGTGCACAGTTTTGTTGGTGACTGATGGCTCATAAACCATTCGAACAAAAGTCATCTTTAGAATAAACATTTATATCCGCACAGACTTTGCTAGTTTCAGTAGATATAAACCTTCAATTCAATGCAAACGATAACACTGTGTAAAGCTCTTGCTCATAGTTTTAATGGAAACGCGATAGGTTGGCCAAATGAGGCTCCAACCCGAAATAGACATAATTTGAACATTCTGTGTTCTCATGTTGGATGCGTTACTCATACATAAAGTACGTTTCTCTATCCTAGAAAACAAATTAAGAGGGTGAACCGGGAAGGAAACTTGACGAGGGTATATAGGCCGCAGAAATCACGACAAGCTCGATCTGTGAGATGCAGTTTGCGAATGACATGTTTTACATATAATATCGTTGGGACTCTACATTTATATTTCCACAGATGACAACAAGAATAAGAAACTTGGAATCATATTTGGCGCTATCTTCGGCCTTGTAGTCCTCCTCATCATTGTTGGATTATTCTTCCACCTCCGATATAAGTAAGTCATTTGCAATTGGATTGTCCACAACCATGAGTGCATACATTTTATTCTATTGTTTATACGTGAAACGCAAGAGTTTTTTGCGAGCTTTGCGGTATCAACGCGAGCCCTGAAAATGCGTGGCAAATACAGCTGGTGATCACAGAATCTGCACGCATTAAATGGCGAAAGATGTAATAAGACCCTAAGAAAAGGTGTAGTCGTTGCGGTTTTTGATCAATGTCAGTGAGCAACTGCGCTCCTACCACTTCCCTTACCCAACAAAAGTTAACTGTTAGGTATAATGTTGGGTTAGCGGAGGGGTAGGTGCGATGAAACACCCTCTTCCCATCCAGGAGGAACAGCAATTGTTGTTTGCGCTTCAAAGAAAAAGTCCGGTACTGTGTCATTTTGTCTGTGTGTGTGGACTGGCTAACATCGTATTATTTCATAAATTTCAGACGGTACGAAGCAGATCTTGAGGATAAAAACAACACGAGCTTCACTACACGCTCCGTTAATTCGGGTGTCACTTTCCCTGAGAATTCGAAGGAAGACAGCAAAAGAACAGGCTCCTATGAGCTTCAATCTCGGCAAATGTACGCAAGCCTGAGCCCGCAATCCCGCACAAGTGGGGACTACGACTACCCAGACCCGCAACCCACGGGAACCCGAGAGAGCTTCCCTTACTACGACAATCCAGGGCTGCAGAGGGATCATGCGCAGTAAAGGTACAGTTAATTAAACTGAAATCGTAGGCACATCGGATTCCTCTCTTTTTTGGCTTATTATTGCAAAGATGAGTCGTTTGGGAGTTGTCCCTCCAGAATTCTTGTCCCCTTCAATAAATTCTTGTTTGTCTACTTCTCCTCAGCGAAACAAGATTTCCTTTGGGTTCTTATCAAGCAAGGAGAATGCTACAGACCATTCATACCGTGGTCTTCCCTCACTTTCCAGGCATGAAGCAATCACAGTAATCAAACGTAAAGTTGTAACCACAGCGCTCAAGATCTTAACAGATTCAGTGGATAATGCTAAGCAGTATTTGTGTCGTATAATTTTCATTTTGGCGCGTGTCAAATCATGTTTCTTTATTACTCCCGCTGGCAAAGTTCCGGATCAAAATATATTCCTGAGAAAGGCCTAAGAGCACTGATTTCTTAATAAAAAGACTACGTTACTGGGTGACGCAACTTTTGCGCCGATTGGTGCTTAGGAAAATCTGATAGCATCTTATAGCTTAGTTTATTACAACGTTCAAAGATAGAAAGCTGATGGTTTTCATTTACTCTAAATTGGTGTTTTTTTTTACTACAGTCTACACCAATACTTCTTCAATGTATGCTTAATTGTAGCTAAATAAACTAAGAAAAAGCATACTCGCGTGATTTTTGTATTTTATTAGAAATGAGAGACTTTTGTTTCAGTTTTTATGAAAGAAAACATCACAAGAACATGGCACATCCATTACTTAAAATGAAATTTGGTTAGTGCTAAAATTCATCGCGACGAAGGATTGCATCACGTCTATCATTCCTGTAACAGAATTCTAACTTTGAAAATATAATTTTAGTATTACCATTCTATTAAATATCCAGCACGTTGACGCTGTTTTTTAGAAAACATAAAAAATCGCTGTCTACCATACATAGGAAACAATTTGTTTTTACCGTTTTGAAACATTGAAAAAGTTTACAAACCTCTAGCGTGATCAATGAGGTCATTTCAGACTTGCATAATCACGAAGTTCGGGGAATTTCGAGTGAAAGTTCCTTTCAATGAGATTAATCGGGAAATTGAATAATTACGAGCACATTAAATTCTTCAGCCCTCTGTTAATATTTCTTAACATAGCACTAAAATCATTCCGTGCAGGAAATGTAACCGCACAAAGTCTACCCTAGCATCAATTCTGCAAATTTTTTTTATTTTAAAATAATCGCACGAAATGCTCAAGTTTGAATTAACTCATTTGGCTAATTTTTGGGATATATTACCTCACTTTTGGTATATCATAATTCTTAGGTATATTTCGTTACCTCTAAATTATGTCACACTGTTAAACTCTCTACCTAAATTAGCTTTATTTAATTTTATTGCTTCACATTATTTTGCCTTGTCCATTACTGCAGGAAACTTCACAATTTTCAGTTCCTTTCCGAAATCACATACGACAGTTGCGTGTTCACACACATTCACGAAACGAACGAACACTGAAGTGTCATCGTTTCCGAGCAGAACCGTTTTCACGCGTCTCCCAGTCAAAACGTCCCAAACTGAGATGTGTCCCTTAAAAAAAAAAAGAGGGATTTCAAGTAAAAAATAACCCTTTTACACCTTAAAATCATGATGCATGTTTTCCATACTGTTCTGTGTACATATCTTAAGCCGCTGACCAAGAGAATTTGTTGAACAATCAAGAGCTTCTTTACTTGGTGATTAATGAGTGGTCCTGGGGCGATATTGTAAGGAAAAATTACAGGGTTCAAAGGATTAAATAACAAGTAATTGACTATGAAAGCGACCTTTGCAACAGGGAAAATAAGGCCTTAAAAAAATTCAGGCCTGTACGGGATTTGAACTCATGACCTCTGTGATACCGGTGCAGCGCTCTACCAACTGAACTAACAAGCCAACTGGGAGCTGTTCACTATGCTGATTCCAAATAAACCCGTGAAGTGATGAATAAATGACTGTGAATATATGAAAATCATATATGAGGACTGCGGAGAAAGAAATGAGCCATAAGAGCCTATGATACGACATTACTAAGGAAAAAAGAAAAACTTTTCACCAACCTGGCCGCCGGTGATAAATAGAGTTCGTGACAACATAACTACGTTCGAGCAGAGATCTGGAAACTACAAGGGAAAAAAATATTCAATACTTTTATTTGCAAGCTTATGTATAACTTTGCACTTGCAACAAGATTTCGACTTACGAACCACAATGGCTGAATCATTGGAATTATGGAAAATGATTAAAAGAAAGATGGACTCCTGGTTCAGCCGTTACTTTTTTTTTTTATCTCAAATAAATACAAAATGTAGACACCTTTCACAGAAAAGCATTACAGGAAAACGATCTCTTTAGGGAGTGTTTGAACTAGTAAAAATTTGTGGAGTCTGAGGCAGCTATTAATGGGGACCTGGTACCTGTATATCCTCTGACACAACGCAAACTGCAAAATTTGCTTCAAGTTACCACTGACTCACCTGGTCCTCTTTTAATTTTGGTTCTAAGGCAATCTTTAGGAAGCTTCCTCACTCCCCCTTACCTGCTTCAGTCGATGTAAACACTCGCCACGCGGTCGATCCCAAATACAGAGCACGCTTTCCAAGCTCACACTTAGCAAGTGCTCAGCTGTACAGGTGACGGCGGTCACAGACTTCACATGGCCACGCAAGTGTTGCAGACATTCACCGCTGATTACATCCCACACACGCACACCACCATTGGCAGCGCCGCTGATCACTTGACGGTTGTTTGTCTGAAAAAGAAACAATACCTTAGTTAACATTCAATACCTGTGCACTTGAGTTAGTCTAAATCGAGTGGAATTTTTAACCTCCTTCGAGAAATGTGTTTGCACTCGAAAGAGTGAATCCATAAATCCCTTGTTCGTGTAGAAACTTCAATTGTCCATTGAAAATCACGAAAATAGATGATAAATGACGCCAAATAGCATGCACGAATCGATAAAAGTTCCCTTTCCATTTTTTCTGAAGAACACACGACCAGATTTGTTTAAACTAGAGATATGACTTAAACCCTTCGTGGTCTCTTTCGCAAGAATGAGCCTCTTCAGTTATTTTGATGTTTTTATTGTGATAAATGCTAAGTAAAAATTTAGGAGGCAAACTTGTTTATGAAGAAAACGGGTCAAGTGGCCCATTCAGCTAACGTTTATGCAGACAAATGACAAATGAAGCGCGAAGCAACGGAGAGGGGGGAGAAGAGTGTTGCTTCTTCACCTCGATGGAGTTCTGGTCCACCCCCTTGCCTAGCCTCCTCCCGCTTCCTCCCACCCACACCAGTGGCCATGGTAGTTCACCGGGATGCATTTAAACTCCTTGGGGGAGAGGAGTGGAGCACAGACATGACATTCTCCTTACCGTATCCACAGCAAGAGTACTGATGCTGTCTGCATGGCCGTGTAATGTGTAAACACAAACACAATCGTCAGTCCGAAACACCTACAAAAAGACAAATGTTTAGCAGTTCAATTTTCGCCGCTGTAGTTCATAGAATTCATCTGACCTGCAATCAAATTTGTAGCAGTCACGTAACTGTCAAAATTTCCATTAAACGTTTGAATTAGAGTTATTTTCTTTGAAGGCAAAGTGATTGGCTACAAAGTGAAAGCGCTCAACTTTCCTGTCCAAAAATGCAAGGATAACCAGCGTTTTAACGCAACACAGGGTATATATACCTTGAGTGTCCTGTCGTGACTTCCAGTTATGACCCGGCCTGCCATGATACCTAATACGCAAATAGGCTGATGATGAGCCCTAAGTTTGTGACTAATCCTGCACAGTGGAGGCTCCGGTGAAGTATATGCGTGTGAGCCATTGACGCCAATTGACGCGGGGTCTCTACTTTGTGGTGTCATCGAAACGTTGCCTGATTGGGTATTTAATTTTCGGGTAGTCCTTGGCGAGGAACGCTTTATTGGGGAGCTCTCCAAAAGGGGCATGGTCAAGTCGGCTCTGCAGGGAGTCCCGAGGGTTAAGAACTCTAAAGTGCCATCCAAACGGGCCGCAACGATCTGAGGACTGAAACAGAAAGAGAAGAGACTGGAGTGAGATATTCTTACTGGGTAATCGTTTCTTTAAGAGGAATTTTTGATTTACACTACCTTCCCGGTAAAAAGCTGAGTTTTGTTACACCAATGTTTCCCTCGCGTGAAACACAAACCTGCGTTCCAGATAACAAACTCCATATCTGCAAAAGATAATAACGAAAACCTTGTAAAGAATGACAAAACACACCCACTGGATTTTGGGCCAGCTGACCATTATCAGAGAGACATACGACAAGATATTTATTTATCACTTATTAAACTGATAATATTGAAACATTATTTAACTGATTGGAATACCTCAATTGTTCCATCGCTACAGCCGATTATCATCAAATCATCCTTACAATCAACACACCACACCGAGGCTCCGTTAGAGTGGTCGTCATAGTAATTGTCACTGTGCACGTGCATCTCAGGCTTGACTTGTTCATCACAAGATCCTTCGGAACTCGACGGCCATCCCACATCATCTCCATCGGCGCTCGACCATGAACTAGTGAAGGAACCTCTGGAACTCAATCGTGAAGGCCACAAGGAAGTGTCAACGTCGGTTGCGTATTTACTGAAGTCGTACCCCGATGACTTTGGACATCCACTTGAAATATGCGATGGGTCACGCGAACAGTTGCAATTTTCAACCTCGTTTTCTCTTAACTTCGATTCAGGTTTTGTTAAGTGCCGTACTTCATTTGTTGTAACTGCACAATTCTCATTCGCATTGAAGGGGGAGAAGGTTGCATATTCAAAGTCCGATGGAGGCCTGGGGCTGACACGCGCATTAGAAGCCGACAGGTTGTCCATTGACCGGTGTGTTGTATAAGAACTGTCTGCATCCACGCTGCGCCTCTGCTTTGATTTCTTACGCTTTGGTTTTGGCTTGGGTGAGGCGTCCGATTGAAATGGACTGCGAAGGAATATGAATATTTTCCCAAATTACTGCGATTCAATAGTCTCCTTTGCAGTCGCATTCGTGGAATTCCACAAAACGCTCCCCGATAGGAATCGATGGAAATCAGGACTGCCTTGGTGCTAGATTATAACCTTCCACACCCACCCAGCCGCTCAAGTAAAGTTCAAAATATTGTTACGAAGATTTTAATGAAAGAGAACCGCAAAATTGCTGAAAAATAGCCCAGAAAAGGGAGAAAAATGGCAAAGGAAGGAGAACGTGAACACCGTTCGGAAAATAACGATAAAAAAAAGAGAGAGAGAAGTCGCTTTTACACAACACTGAAACCCTTTTACTCCAGAGATCTCAATTTAAATTATTTTGCAAGTGCCATACGTTTCTCACAATTTAGCACTGAGAATTTGGTGTAAACGGTGCTAAATCAGACAAAGCCTAGTAGTTGTAATTCTTTCCGCCCATTTCCTTTCTCCATGGTAATGTACTGATATTGTAGGAGGAGAACATATTTATCATTAACTCCAGAGAGTGGAAAAATGAACAAAAGAGAGTTTAAAGTGGAAAGTAAACTGACCTCCTTCTGTTTATAACCCTCAGACAATCTCCAGTAGCGATGTCCCAAACACATATCTGGCCGCTTAAACAAACACTGACAATGGACGATACAGTGCATTTCAAATGCTCCACGTTCTACATTGAAGTAATAAAAAAGACAAAAGTAACATTAATAACGACCAGGAAAGAGTGATTATGATGATTGCGAAAAAGAGGAGGACGAGGAAAGGGAATGATAACTACCAAGAACGATAACTGTAATGGTAATGATAATAATGAAAATAATTACGATAACAGTGATAATGAAAATGATGATGATAATAAGTTCAGGACGTTTTGACGGAATTCATATTTTTGAGTCATTTTTGGCTCGCTCGGATTCATCCAATGGAATTAGCCATCGTGCTCAAGTCGCACTCATAAGATCAATATCCGCTCATGAATGGGTTGGCGTTGGGTTGGGTTGCCGTTTCTTATAATGGTTACAATACAGTAATAACGCATTGTTTACACGCTATACATACCTGCGTGTGCCCTCTAAGAGTGATGGGTACGCACTCTACCAGTGCATCACATCGGTGGCCTCTTCCTCTCCTCCCTCGTCGCGAACTGGGATTGACTTGGAGATCGTTCAGAAATTTACACACGAAGAAGAGAATTATCATGACGACAACACCAAGTACCACACACGACAAAGCGTTGTGGTAATACCTCGCATCTCGAATCTCCTCGTCAGCTACGGAGCCTCCCGCGGGGGTGGTCTCCTGTACACTGTCGAAAGAATGATCGAGTTTCCCTGTGCCATCTACTGATGAGAACCCTTGACTGGTAGCTGACAGCGGGTCACCATCCACTGGAAGGTCTGTGACAAAAATGTCCGTATCAATGTTGACTCCCAAATGTACGGGCGGTAAGACTGTCACATACCTGAAAACAACACAGCAGAGGGTTAGATTGTTATTGTAGAGCACAGAGGTCAACTATTGGAGTGGGTTGCTCTGTACTGGTAAGTTAATTCATTGAATTAAGTTCTATTCTAATCACAGCATTGACGTAATAGATTATAAACCCTCGATTTTTGTTCATCAAAGGGTTCAAGGTTCTTGTTTTCACTAACTTCTGTGACCGCAATCAAGATCATACGTAAATAGAATAACAAGAACGTAGGTTTTGCACGCATGCCAAAACAAAGCTAACGGAAGGTTTGAGGTTCGATTCCTCTTGGGAACTTAGTCTTTTCATGGTCTTGCACTCAAGAAAAAACGTCTTTAATCAGTATTTCCTTGGCCAGACGGCAATTAAAAATAATCGGTCCATCTAACTCTTAGTGATCGAAAGTTGGATCAAGTAGAAATACAACAGAATGTGGCTGCTGCATATCCATGAAGTGACTCTCCTCGACTACTGCTTCCAGGTTGTGTGGAGTGTGGAAATCTGAAGAACCCAAAGAAAACCCTTGGAGTGAGGACGAGGAAAAGTAAGAAACCCAGCCTTCATGTGACGCTAGGTCTGGGCACCTGACCTAAGTAAAAGCGGTGGGACGCACATATGCTCTTCCCACTTATCCAATTTTTTAAATCGATCTTTACCTGCCCAGAAGACTTATGTTGTAATAACTTAACACCTGAGGCCAGTGCCGTTGATAGAGACCTCTCCATAACTCTACTGACGGAGACTTGAAAGAAAACCCTGGTCTTTTCTTTCTTGTGGATTCTCTCTTGCCTTTCCATCCTAATAAATTTCCACTCTCGTTCATTCCTTCGGGGAATCTTGTCTTGCTCTCTTTGTGATCAAACCATGAATCTTTGATGTTTGTAAACTCATCTGTATTCACTGAACTCTGGACATCTCGGGAGGTATCCACCGAATCTAAGCCCGGAGATTTCAAGATGTACACAAAATAGCAAATGAAGCACACCTGTGAGGGATTAAAACGTAGAAATTGAGAGAACCATCTTTTATGAACGAATAAAAACCTCAACGATTTATGCCTATAAAAGTTTATCTTTTAAAGTGATGAACACACGGCGATATCAAGACTACCAAGCACCGCGTTTGTTTCATTCCTTTGTTCCCTTACTAAATATCAGAGCTGCTGTGTAATTAACCCTTATGCTCCCTTCAGTGATCGAGGAAGAATTTCTTCCTACAATATCACGCAGAAAAGTGATGAGTATGAAGACAAATGTCAAAAAAGGGATTATTAGTTGATCCAATATCGAATTCTCCGAACCAGCACCATAAGAATTGTATGGCAGACCGTAAGAAGAATTACTAGTGAGATATTGGGAGTTTAAACTGTTAAACTGTTAAAATAAAAATGTCAATTTTAAGTCATTTATTCCGTATTCTGAAAACGAAAACTATTAAAAAAAAAAACTCTCTTTGTACATGTCAACACTTTCATTTTCAGGAGAAGCCAGTATGCATAGTCAAAATGCTCTCTCACAGAGGAAGGTAATGCTGATTCAAAATCAGTAAATGCAGGCGTAATGGGATTATTGAGACCTTGATAAAAAAAATTCTATAGATGATTATGATCACCGTTTTCATTCAACAAAATTAGCTTTCGGATCTTGAACGGTTTAACACTCCATAAGGCTAACTCGTCGGTTTTTGAAGCAATTATAGCAAAGACGCTATGGACGATTACAACACGGACAAAAAGAGAAGTATAAGACTTTTTAAAAAACAAAATTCATGATTTTCTCAAAGTCCTACTTGTGCCGCTTGCTTAGCGGATAAAATGGTAAAACCAGTTTGCCTTACCATGCAAGCTTTCTGTACTATTCTTGTTCTTGCCCAAAAGTACGCAAAATTAAGCCTCCTGGGTAATCTCCTAGAGAAGACAGGACACTGCCTGGGGGTATCACCCTGATTATTCAGTGACGACTGCGGCAGGGGAGGTAACAGGCCGAAAAACTGCACTGGTTGTCCGGATTGAGGGGAGCCTGGCACTGGTGACGGAGGAGTTTGTGCTGACGTCGGAGAAGGAAAGAAAAGAAAAAGAAAATATCAGAATGAACGAATATTATAAATAATTTAGACCAATTCTAGATTATTTATTAATCATGTGGTAGAAAAGCCAATCAAAGCTATAGAATTCCACAACTCAATGATCCATTTGCAATTTTTCTTTCATGGTTTTGTTCTTTTCAAATTCTACTTAAAGTGACTGACCTTGGTGCGATCCATCTGACGGATTCCTCTGCCTGACCTGTATTGGCTGCCTCTGAAGATCCGAGAGCTAAGGAAAAGCATACACAAATGAACAGATACACTTTACATGGCATCTAAATTTTTAACTGCCAAGAAATTTACATCAGCACACGAAAGTGCACTCCTTATTTCGTTACAAAGTAGCATTGAAGAAAGTTTTGCTTCAACCGAGTCAACGAAATCTTAGATTTGAAAAAAAAAAATTCCAAATTTTTTTGGGGGGGAGGGGTGTATGTGTAAATCAAACGTATAAATGTGGGAATGCAGTGCATCTTTTTTACCTCCATTCTCCTGATGTCAATGGAAAGGACTGTAACAAACAGAACCATCTGCAGAAAGAAGTCTGACAGCAGACATACCATGGCGAAAAAACAAAACTCCTGAAAACAAAAAGAAACGCATTGAACAACAAGATTAAATTTGTTAATTTTGGCCCTCTTTGCTTTTGCGATTTTTGCGAGCACCCGCCTCTCTCCTTTTATTCTCTACCAACTATCACTACCAATCAACGCAAAAAAACGAATCTGAGGAAATAACTAGACAGCGGAAAGAGGGACAAATATACATAAAAAAGCGCAAGTTTGAAGGAAAAAAAGCTGGTGCATTTACCTGCACAGCTGGGACAAAAGTAAAAAAGCCAGCTAACAAAACGGTCATCTCGGTTAGAAGATTCTTTACAATATACCAGCCTTCTCTGCTAAGCCCTGCAAAGTGAAAAAACAAATTAAAACTTTGGATGACTGACAAACACACACACACACACAAGGCTATTACTTAATTCATATGCGACAAGCCGCCTGCATACTGCTAGGATCAGCGGTATACAGGACCTTTGTCTCAGATCTTTGTCTCCTGCTTGAGGAAAAAATTAAGGATAGGACTGACCACAAATTCACTATGTTTCTTTTCACTAACAAAATAGCTTTTTCCTTTGCCAATCCTGGCAGTATCATTGAAGATTACATGTCAAATATAAACTTTGAAATAGCCTCTGCAACTGTGACCATTCAATTCCAAAGGTTTGCAGTTTTATTCCTCATTGAAAACTCAGATTTTTTCTTATTTCCATCTTTCTGACTAAAAAAATATGGTAACATAATTATTTCTTGACTGACTTCACATGTTTTGCATCTTGAACCGTTCATGGTCTTTCACAAGGAATTTGAGATTCAAGAATGTATTAAATTTATCATAATATCTTAGATGTAGAGTTTTGCCCTGTGAGCATGGTTCAATACCTTGGGCTACTCTTATCTTGACCTCCAAGTCCACTGGAGTTGACACCACAGACTTTGTTATCACCAGGATGTTCTCCACACCAACCACAATCACAAGATATGGAAAAATCTCACTGTGCAAGTCAAGAAATGGAAAATGTCATGAATGCATTATATGTAAAAAAAATATATATATACATAGTGGCAGCTACAGCATGAAAATTAAATTGGTCAAAGGGCATCTAAAGTAAGTGACTGCATTACTTTTATGTCTAACAAAGATTCAACGTTATTACGGGTGCATCACTTTGGTTTGCAGTGATGATGCAGTGATGATCCATAAAGGTAATCCTGTTTGAGTCTGTTCATGCTTCTTACCTGCTATCCAGAGTGGTAACAAGGCCAAAGAATGAGCACAACCCAGAGGCCATGATGAGAGAGGCTATCACACAAATCACAGCACTGAATGCCAAACCCCATTTGCTTTTCACCATCTCTATCTTTCCTGTAATAAAGCACAATTTAGGATTTAAAAAATTTTTGCGAGTTCTTGAAAAAACTGATAACCTATGGGCTGTTCAATTTCACATTGAAATGCATATCTGGTGTACTCAGGTATCATATTTTCTTGTGGTACCAGAATTTCACTATAATAATGGCTGTGAGATTTTTCATAAGCTCCTCTTGAAAGGAGCTGTGTCATTCTTCCAGTAATGACTCCCCAACCACCCAAGGGGTACATAACACTACAGGCAACTTTTTACTGATGGTTTGTCGAGCAGACCCATAAAAATAGAACCCTAGGATATCCAAGATAGCTCATCTACATGTACATAAGACAACTTACTTGTTTTCTTCCACCAGCACAAAGTGATATTGAAATAATTTGTAAGAAAAAAAATTATACTAATTTTCAACTTACCAACAGAAAATGCTAAATATAGAAATACAATGAAATATGTAACACAAAGTGGGGCAAGCTCAAGTAGCTCTCTGTCTTCACCCTGTGGATTACAAGAAAAAACAGAATAACATTAGAAAAGCCTAGAAGTGGAGAATTCACCATTAACAAGTAAATGTTCTGTAAATTCTTTATTGCTGTGAATCCACTGCTGAGTAAACATCATGAATGATGTCAAAATACAGCAAGAACAAAAAAGTAGCCCTAAAACCCTTGGCAGTGTGCCCTTGGTGTTCTCAAATCACACCACATTCTCACATCTTCTTGGATCTACAGCTATTGTATTGTTGTGAGCTGATTCAGGCAGCAAGAAATCAAACATTTGTGTTTCATAAAGTAAAGAGGGAACAATTGCAAATATTCATGCCAAGTAAACACCCATCTTGTAAAACAAAATAGGTTATAAGAACCAATCAGAATGTAGACTAACAATTTTTTGAGAATTTCAGGATCGTTACCTTGTAGTATATATGCACGATGTCATCTTTGTTCACATTTTCATCTTTTTCTGTGGCAGATGCCAGAGGAAAGTCCTTCTTCAACTCTTTGCTCAGTTGATCAATGTACCTGAAGTGAGAGAACCAAAACTTAAAGATTCAGGAAGATAGTCTCCCTCAATGACACATTCATGTTATATCAGTCTGTACCTTTGCTAAACATACGTGTATGATGTTTCCAATTCTCCATACAAAATTTTTCATACAGTGGTGATTTCTATACAAGCTCCAGTGTACTTAAGTCTGGATATTGCTTTACCTTGGGTTGTGTGATGACATTACAAGTGTAACTCCATACTGGATGACATGATTTGGTCCATCTGTTTTCAAACTGGGAAAGATTCCAGTTTCCTTGAGTGGCAAACCAAGTATGTACTCTGTAACAGTGAATGGAATTTTAATCTCATCACTAGCATTAAGCTTACATTTCAATAAGGTATTCCAAGTAGTAACTGTCACACATCTGCCATACAGGGTGTAGTGTTAATAAACTCTGAGCTACCTAACCCCTCCATCAAGAAGTTCCAGATAATTTCTTTGGAACATTTTGCCTTACGGCCCTTCTCTTTCTAAGATTTCCCAATAAAAGGCAGTCTATGACTGCACATATGCGAGAAAGTTTGATCACATAGCTATTACGTTCAAATAGATAACAATGTAGAAATGCAGAGGTGAGACCCTGAACAATCATCAAACTAAACCCAACAAAACCAGACATGAATTCAAAAAACAGTGGCCAGTGGCAGATCTGAACTAGGATGAGTCACAAGAGATGTTACAAGTGTCCCACGATAGTTGGCCATTTTGAAAACTGTGAGGGGCTTGGGGGAAGGTTTATGGACTTACAAGACACCATAACATAGTGTCTACAGCCTTCCTTGAAGGAGGGCAGAGCAGGCACAATAACCTCTCTTTGGTGGGGATGAAAACTTTCTAGACCTCCTTGTGTATTGACACACTGCATACTAATTCAATTTAAATGTCATGTGTATACATTGTGCAGTGATTAATATTAAAACAGAGATTATGTTACCAAGTTGAGTACTTCCTCTAGGGATACCGAGAGATAATTATAATATAAATGACAGAACATTATGTTAAAAGCTAATAACTAGCTATGGTAGTTGCTATCTTCATGATAAATTTATTTCTATTATTTATTTGAGTCAAACCTTTGAGGCCAATGTTAAAAGGAGTCCTCCTGGGAACCAGATATAAGTCATCTAAAACTGAAGCATCTTGATCAAATCTTAAACGAGAGAAAGGGATAACCAGCTTAGTCTAGTAAACATGTGAAACAAAAGTAAATAGATTCACAAGTTGAAGTGATGCCAATTGTAATTAGTTTATGTACTATATCTATATAATATTATCATTTGATGGACCTTTTCTTTCTTTTCATGGCTTATGCCGATATCATGTGAACAACAAAATCTGCCCTTATAACAGACTGCTAATGTGTGATGCAATGTACAATTTAACTGTATTTTTCTGCAAATAATATTCTGTTCATAAAAAGTTGTGTTCATGCCCAGCTATGAAAAATGGCACACTGCTTTCTTTAAAGAGTTAAGAGACTGAGTTTCCCAAAATGCTACTGAGAAAGATCTCCCTGCATGATAGTTTTGCACAAGAATTATAATCTCCCAGTGTCTCACAGATCAATGATTTACCTCAGTTAGTCCACTAATGCCACCAACATCCCAAAGTTTTCTTAGCTTCATCAACTAACTTTTTAGTCAACAGAGGATTGTTAGCTCTTTCTCACCTCTCTCTGCTCCTGTTCCAGAGATTTGCCGGTGACAGCAACAGGCACCCTTTGGTTGGAAGGTATCTTTGATCATTTATTCCAAGGCCAGAAAACTGTGAAATGCTGGGACCAGAACTCACTTGTAAACAGACATCATTCAATTTTACCAAGTGACTCCTAAGGACAAGAAAAACATTGACAAAAAAATAAATAAATACATTTAATCTTCTAGTTAGTTTAGTGCAATTTAACAGAGTTAACAGCAAAGAGCATTCTGTAGTAGTCAGCAGTTTTTGCAAATGTGCATGCATTGGAATTCTATGCACCCTTTGTTTGAGGTGTTCATGTGTGCACTTTGAGTGTGAACTTTCAGCATTGTTTGTAGTGGCAGCTTATCATCAAGGCAGTTTTCCCCACCTCTTCCCTCCCTCTTTCCACTGTTTATTCAGTGTGATGGGTGCCTATTTCCTTTTCCTGTGTGGAAGCTCAGAGCTGGGTTGTTAAGATTTGCCAGCCATGAGAGCAGTCTCCATCTAGGAGCTGGCTGCCAATAGTGGATGTCTCAGGCACCCAACCTCCACTTAACCATAGCGATGCAGTTGGTTATAAGAAATAAATAGGTCATGGTAACAGTGCAATCTATTAGTAGGTCTAGGTACTCTGTTCTTGGTAATAGTAGTAGTAGTAAAATCATACCCCTGCTTATGCTGAAAATCGGTGATGTGCTTTGTGATGTTGAAGCCAGGTTTTAGTGCTTCCTTGATAACCAAACTATTCTGAAGATGTGGTCTCCAAGGACTCACATGTGCCATCAGTATAAACTGTTGTATATATAACACTGGATCTCCTACAAACTGCAAGAAGTTATAATCTACTATCAAATAAAAAAATTGTACAAAACTAAGTCATAGAGGAATTGTTGTTACATGTATAACTGACACACTTACTGTAAAAATGGACAAAAAGGTTTTAACCCTTTAACTCCCAAAAGTTATTAGCAGATTATCCAGAAAAAGGGAAATGAGAAGACTCAAACTTATCAGATAGTAGTTGAAATCTTGATCTCACATCAAATTCTAATATTAAGTAATTTAAAAGAAAATGTGTAGCAATTAGAGGTCTGATCATTTGTGAGGGGAAAATCCACTAGCTGACCCATAGAGGGGACAGTAACTGTTATTATATTAAGTCAATCTATCAGTGAACTCTGCTCTGCTTGATTACTGACATGTTTGTCACTAGTGGTGATAAAATTTCTCTATAGGACTACCATTACTGGATAATCAGAGGAGATCATCACCTGTTACTCTTTGATTCAAAACATTCACCAAAATTTTAAGAAAGAGTTCAAAACCAGTAGAGGTGTGATCAGATAACTTCCATGTTTTGGATCACGCCTCTACCGGTTTTCAACTCAAGATGGAAGAGGCTATTCATATTCAAAGAGAACAAACCATCCTTGAATCAACAATTACACCATGTAAATCTAAAACTATCCTTTTAATTCTCACACTTTCATGCTTTACCTCTGTTCTTGTTGTCACTATTCATCATAATTAGCATTGTTCTACTTACTATATAATTCAACTTCTAACACTTTGTACATTAATTAACTGAAGATGACAGAAGTTACTGTTGAAATATGTTTCACAGACTTTCTTTAAATTATTCACCAAAATACACAGATTAAATGATGTTTTCTTTACCCATCTTGGTATAGTATTGTCATTCCCCTGTAAGATCCTTGGTGTTTTACCCTGGCTGTCAGAAACATAAACTCCAGATGAACTTAGAGTTATCCATTCAATAGCAGCTGAACCTCCAAACAGTGGTACTGAGAGGAGAGGGGCACTGTCAAAATTAAAACGAGGAATGATGACTCCACAATAATAACTTTTATAAGTAAACTATTGGATAAATGGAAAAGTGTAATTAATACATGAAAAAGAAAAAAAAAAAAGGGATGGTGCATGGCATATCAACCCCACCCACACTCCTTTAAACTGTAATGATGATGGCTTACTACCTGAAACCTATTTATATCTCGTCAGAAAAAAAATGGCAGCTAATTATGGAGCATATAAAAGGACTTCTTGTCGCAGCAATTAGATCACCCCTGATCAAGACACTAGACAGGATTGGCAACACATTGGGTCTATGAATTGTGACTTCTCCGTTACATTCATTAAATCTTTAAACCAGAGTAGCATCAAACCATGTCTGACTGTCCACCTGGTTGCCTTGCGAACTGTAATAAATCCAATCCCATTTTCCTTGACACACAAACTAACAAATACCTCCCCTCTCTAACACATACATGTAGACTTGTGTATAACTGGGAAACCAAATAATTGAAATTATGATGTTTATCAGGCTTCAAGGGTAAAAAAAGTTCTTTAAAAGCCAAATTCTGAAGTACATGTCTATTTCTAGTGTTCTTATAAAAAGTTGTATGAACGTGACAGGCAAAGTAAACAATTCAAAATTGAAAAATACGGTACACGTGTGTGCATGGTTTCAGAATACGCATCATAAAATATGAAATACTCTAGGTTTCGAATTTAGTTCCACAAACGAAAACTAATTAAGAGAATTAAGGGGAATCACCCATGCAAATCCCATGCCATGTGATCTGTTATGAAAGAAATGGTACACATGTTCCACAACTATTTACCGTGGTACTTCCCTTACCTGCAAGAGAAAACCACCATCGCAGTGAATATTATGACCAATTTTGGATGCGTAGCGCAAAAAAGTCCATGTTCATAGCATAAGCGGGAAATCCAGTCCGCACTGGTCTCCTTCTCTTCCATAACTTGGGTTTCATTCGATTTTCCGTCATCGACTGCGATTTCATTTGCACTCATGTTCATTACTCAGCGTTAACGCAATATTAAAAAAGCCCAGCTGAACTTCCTCTTTCATACAAGATCAACGCCCTTTCTGCCTTGCACTCGATGTTTTATGGGTTTCCTAACTGAAGAGCAATATCCATGTTTAGTTATGCAAAGTTAACGTCGCTGACACGAGGGTCATCTTCACACTTTACAAGTGTGTCGCAGTTTTGGTTCGAATCCTGCCCAAGTTCAGTAGGATCGGGGTCAAACAAATGAAAATCCACAACTCACAAATACTGCCACTCCTCTCACATATCCGTTTGCTGCCATTGCGCTATTCTGGCCGTGATATAACCTGTAAAAATAAAGTGAACTGTTTCAAGTCTAAAATTGGTTTCAACGCCATGTTTGTTCTCCAACGCATGACCGCTAGTTAGTTTGAATTGCGGACTCATAAGTCGCGGCCTGGCTAGGACTTCAGCTGGTCATGAGATTTATCACGCGATGTCTCACGCGATTAAAGGTGCTTTAATTTGTTCATTTTTCCGGTATAAATGTACTTTGGACTAAAATGTAAACTTTATTAACTCCGGAAGCGCTCCTTTGCCATTTGTTGTAAACACAAGCAATCTAAATAGGATTTCCGACCTAATGTTGACGGTTTCTGATTTACAGCATCTACTATGCTAATTTTCGACCCCCTACAACGCTTTTTCGAACTCAGTGCTCTTTCCAACCTGTCCAACATGAAATGTGTTCTCTTCGGGAGTTCTGTGTTTTTGACAGCCATGCATGGAAGCGTGTTCGTGGCCAGAAAATGGCTCTTCGTGATCCGTTAGTACCCAAAAACATTGAAGACCCAAAAATCAATTTAAAAACCTTTGGGTGGAAAATATATATCTCTTTACGGTTAAGATATCAAAAAATCAAAAACAAATAAACACATTAAAAATGAAAAATATGTGAATGAAGAATTTTAATTGAAGATAAAGCTTGCAATGATAAAAATTCACATAATTTTAATCTAAAGTTGTAATAATCACTAAGAATTTGAATATCGTATGGAAGAGCATTAAATAGAGACACAGCGTCTACATTAGTTATCCCGTTTTAATTTACTAAGAAAATGCTATCGGTAAATTGAGTTGCAAAAAGCCATCGATTCGTTTTGATTATCAACCATCATGTTGTGCTTACGGAGCGCGATGGCTGATTACAATGTCAGTCAGTTATAGTCTAAGACGGGTAGAACCAGTCTGCTGTTCACCGAAATTGAATCCTGGATTATAAAGCTGATCAAGAGGAATAAAAAGCTTAAATTTGATGATATTTGAAGGAATATTCCTGATATAATCTCACATAGTTTTGTCCATTTATCATTCTCTGTCTGGGATGTCACATTCTCAGTTTTTAATTTCTCTTAATTAACTTGAAGAGGTTCAAAGAGGTCTGTTCTTCTCTGTAAAGGTTTTCCTTCTGGCGATATAATTCAACTACTAAATGCCCGAAAAACCAGTAAAAAAGCCTATGTGCTTGTTAGCTTATTTCTTTGATGTTATTCTGTTTTCCAGCATATGCAGTTCAAACTTGGTAACTTCCCGAATGAAAAAAAAGAAAGACTTTGGTGGTCTTTTTGCACAAAGGTCGTGCAGTCATTTGTCTCTGCCACAAATGAGACCTTATTCCGTGTGATTTTGAGACGGGACACCACAATATCAGACAACTGCAAGCTTGGTAAATAAATAAGTTATTTAAAGAAGATTCGTCAGGCTAGTCACTGGCTGACGAACAGATTATAATACGCTTTATATTCCAGTTAGCATGTCTTGCTGATAATGATAATAAGAATATTTAAAATAATAATGATAAAGATCATACATTGGTGCAATGATAATGCTAATAATCTACAGGTTTGATCTCAGTTTTTTTGACCTACGAATGAAAATCAAGTAAGGCAATAATCCACACAGGTGAGTTATACTTTTAGCAATTGCAGAAAAGAAATCCGAAAACGTCAAGAACATAATCCATAAATTTTGAAAATCTAACCATGTCCTTCATAACACACCTATAGCTTTTCTGGAAAGGAAGAAAGACCGTGCTATATAACTTGCGTCACGTGTCCCTTTGCCACGTGGGTGGTGGAAAAAGAACGAGAGAAGATAGAACAAAAAAAGCGAGAGAAGATAGAACAAAAAAAGCGAGAGAAGATAGGCAATTATCCATTACCAGAAACAGTAGTCTGAACGACACTTTCTGGAACCTGGAAGAAGTAGCTCGAACACCTCAACAAAGCAGCTGAGTGTAACCCCTGTGGCTCCTCGAAGTCACAGGAGCTGTGTATGTTATCAGGGGTGTGACTTGTATACATATGGCAGTTGTCGACTCATTGCTCTGCCAGATATCATACTATGTTCTCCGTTCTCTGATAAATAAGCGAATAAATGAGTATAAGTAAATGAAGAGAAAAATGAGTTCACCGATGAAAACTGACCTTGAACTGTTTTTTTTTTTTTTTTTTTTCATTGGTCTTTTGTAAGGCTCTTGGCATATCATTTATATCTGCTATGCCCTTATGGAACTATATCTTATGTTTATTTTTGAGTTACGTTAAGATGCCTCGATGTCCGACGAATGCAGGTTAGGTAATAAATGACTGATTTAGAGATAATTTCAAATACCAGACACTGGCTTACGATCATAATATAGCAATGGTTCGAATTCTCGTGGCAAGTCTCCGTGAAAGAAGCTTAGACGCCCCTCGCGATTGAGCGCGAGATATTAAAGACGATTTTAAATTTCAGTCAGCCGCTCTCGACCAGAAAAAAGCAAAAAGACTAATTTCCTTTAACATAGCATGTCGTGGAAGTATCTCGAGTACACCCTTTGGCAAAAATTCTTTCTATTGCTCCCCAAAGAAAAGGGAACATCCTGTTTCCTTTGTTTTCTTTTGGCGAGGCTTGCCCTTGCTGTCTCTCTCTCTCCCTCTCTCTCTCTCTGAAAGGAATGGATGCAGGTAGTATCTTTAGTATCTTTCCATTATCTTTAATGGAAAGGAAATAAATACAAAGGAAATTAAGCAAGTGAAGTTCGCATTCGCTTCTGCTCCAACTCTCTTCATCATATTTAGTGATCAGAAACGCTAAAACTCTTTATAACTTCTGCTGCAGCTTATACTTGCTTTTTTTTTTGTCTAGTGTAAAAAAAGAAAATAACAAAACCAATTAAAGGTGTTTTAGAGACGTAAAGCAGAGGAAATCGTGCTAGCACCTTCTGAGCTTCTTATCGTGTCTTATAGAAGTAATTTTGAATCAGGAACCCCGTGCGTTTTATAGATGGAACAATACAAGATCTCATTTTTCATCCATGGAGTTGTATCTCTCCTGGAGCAGCCACCACTGAGTAAAACTATTCCATCAGCGCGGAGGTTTGTTCTGTTTTTCAAATCGTCTTTAGGAGTATTTTGATAATTTGAAAGTTACAGCACTCCGGAAATTTGCAAAATCTGGCATCGTATCATTAAGTTCAAGTTACGCTATAATCTGCTGAAACTTGGTTAAAACAAATAAACAATTAGATTTCAAAGCAGACTGCGAGCGTAATCTCATAATCCTTCCCGTAACCCTAATCTTGCTTTAAAATGTTCTTCTTACAAGGCAGTGTTTATATTTTTGAAGAGGAAAATTATTCGCCGTGCATTGTTAGCTGTAGTGGGGATTGGGCACCAGAAATAAATCCCAGTTGAGCGTCTGCGAATCTTCTTCTTTTTTTGAGCCCTACTTGTTTCAGACTGAAGTCTGTCGAGAGAGGTTTGGATTAAGCGGTCAGATGGCAAGGAAATAATTGCTGCTCACATGAGATAAACCTGTTTGCATAAGGACTGACGCTGGAATTGTCTTTCAAATAAAAAAAATAACTAGGTTTTATTTGTCAGTTTCTTCAGTTGTTTTCACCTCCCAAAGTGTGGGTCGAAACAGACTGCTCTAAATGAGATAAAACAGTCATGTAGTATTAAATTAAGATCGAGAGTTGGAACAATGTTTTTTGCGTGCAATAAACAGATATAGGATTACTGCTATGAACAACAATAAGATAAGCTATGGATAAAAACATTTACAGCTACTGTTACCACTACTACTACTACTACTACTACTACTACTACTACTACTACTACTACTACTACTACTACTACTACTACTACTACTACTACTAGTAGTACTAGTATTGCTAGTACTATTAGTGCTACCAGTACTACTACTTCTACTACTGCTGCTGCTGCTGCTGCTGCTGCTGCTGCATGCTGCTGCTGCATGCTACTGCTGCTGCCACTGCTTCTGCTAATACTACTTTCAATTCTACCAATATTACAACTACTGATAATTATAACTATAATTATTATCATGACAATTGTGGTTCTACGATGATATTACTATCATTAATGGTAATCGTATAATTTGGTGTCTAAATGGTGTGGCCAGGGAACTTCACACAATGTTTTGCTAAATCTTATTAAAGCAACATTAGAGAAAAATTTAATCACCTTGCGCATCATCACATCAAGGAGAATCGACAGGATGAACACGAAAACAAAATCGCAATCTTTCTCTGGGGTTAATTAACTCTTTACCCAGATTGTAACGTTGATCTTTAGATTAAGCCGAAATATACATTTAAAAGCGACGAAAAGGTTTTATTTTCCATTGAAACCACCCTAGTAGAAATAAACTTCCTTAGATTGACTGGGACTTTTCTTGAACGAAACTGAAGCAAATTTCTTTTATATGAAATTAAAAAACATTTTGTAGCTTTAAAATTCACCCCGACTACTCTTCAGGAGACTTAAGATCACTGACCATTAGAGAAGTTAAAAGGGAGGGGAGGGGGGAGATTGACTTGTAGCATTCCCAAGTTGCATGATGTTTGTTCAGACCAAAAGATTATAATCTGTTTTTCAGACATGTTACTCTGAGGAATTTTTTTCCCGTTAAAAAAATCTGCTGCCCGAAAATTTGTCTCTCGTAGAATGTTTTAAGTATTTGCATGGAAATATTTTCTAAGCTGCTCACTGCGAATGATATATTGATACATTCATCATCTTAAATATTCACTTTACCATTTATTTATCTTTTTTTACATACTGATAACGAAACAATCGAATTTACATTGAACTTTACTGATTATATAATGTAACATAATTGTTCTAATCTCATCAAATTTTATTGAAATAGTGAAAAGGGGGTTAGAATGAAGCTCATTAAACAGGAATTCTGCTTGTTAGCGAACCCAGAGCATAATTTGGTTTTTACTTGACTGCCTCTCAAGGAGAGTTCAGAGAATGGAGAATGGATTGTTGTGAATCTCACAACCTCTGGCTTACGATTGGGTATAAGTACACTTAGATAACTAAT